CTGGCTCTGAGTCCCCTTCAGCACACAGCTATCGCTGGCATCTCTGCTGTCTTGTTTCACTAGTGATTCTACCGCTTACATGCATCATAACCAGCGTCTCTTGAGTAGTCCAGCCCTTTTGGCCTGACTCTGCCAACTGGACTGCACTCTTGATCAGTCTCTCATGAGTGCTTTCCCTCGAAAGTTCTCGACTCAACTGTTCAAGTTTTCAACTACTCACTGCCCAACAGTCCACTCAACCCCAGTATATACCCTTGCCTGCCCCTTGTGAGCTGACCGTGCACACAAGACCACAGTGTCATGCACCCCATACTTCTTCCTTGCGACAGCTGCTATCCCGCTTGACTCATGATAGTTAGCCATCCACACTGGACTAATAACTTCATGAATCCACTGGTCCATCCTGCCCTCAGTCAATTCCCACTTGCCACAATATTGACTCAAGCCAACAGATATTTCCTGGCTTAAGTCAACACTGTGCCAAATATTGACTCATGTCACTGGACATTCCTGTGGACTCCTGAAAACACTATTCATTCCATGTTGTCTCCCTACAATGTTACAACCCACACGAATCAGCACGCAACACCTTGATACATTTCTTTGAAACAATTTTTTTTTGGGTGACCCTTGTTTCTGAAAAGATTTGAAAAAAAAAATGGAATTCACTGCTTCTGGGTTTATTCTCTAAGGGTTTCAGGGGCAGCAGGGTTACACTTAGGCTGGTATTGTCCCCACCACATGTTTTAGATATTAAAATGTCAACACACTCCAAAACAATGCCAAGGGAAACTACTTTATAATAAAAAACAGAAACAAAAATTACGGCCATCATGCCACATACCTGTCGACTCTGGGTGATGTCTGTAGGATCTGAGACCTGGCTACTAACTGCATCTCCTTCATCCAGTTTGGGTTTTTTCTTTTTCTTCTTAGGAACTGCTGGCACTGACTGGGCGGCCAGAGTCTCCATCACTTGAGAATCCTTTTCCTGACTCGGTGATCGCTTTCTCCGTCTTCTAGGGGTCGGTCTCCGCTGAAACACAGAAACAAAAATTATCTTTATTCTGAAAAAATTAACCCCCCCCCCACCCTCCCCCGCCACTTTTCCCTCCAAAAATTTACTCTCTCAGTATCAAGGTGTTGCTTAAATTAATTCTGCTCTCAGGTAATCGCAGTTGCAACTTCACCACAAACGAGTCACTATACAGCTGCTTCATTACTGTGCCAAGGAAAACCACAAAGAATTTCCATCACTGTCCCTTGTGAAAACACTGATACAGACTGCAGTCCCAGCAAAGTCAACAGCATACGAATTCGGATGATGTCAAAGAGATGAAAAGAGGCGGGTGATATATGCGACAAATTGAGCATGGGTCCTAAAAGGCTCGGAATGTTGCAGAAAAAAAAAATAATGATAATAATAAATAAATGGGCCCAAAAAAATTTAAATTTTCATTATCATAGCGACTACGGAGTTTGGCAATTGGCGGTCTTTTTGGCAATTTCCGTTACCATGGAAACCGTTCGAAACTTGCTTCGCAAATGTCGGCTGGGGTTTCGGGATGGGTCCTAATCTCTCATGAAATTTTGCGATTGGTGTGATTTTCACCCACTATAAAAATCTGAAAACGGCAGGAAGGAACCCGATTAACAGCGCATGTCTACGACAGCCGGACGTCCTCTGTTACATCAGTTTGATTGAAAATAGCGATAAGTATTCAGGGTTGGCTTTAGGCTTTAACTGTTACTGGTCCTGGTAATGCTAGTTATAATTGAATTCTCCGTCCAATTTTACATTTGTGTATAAAATTTCTTTCTGAACCTTGGCTAGGTAGATGTACAGTGACATTTTTCAGGCAATCGCTGGCTCAGCCAGTGGCTGTGTCTCACTGTCTGCCATCTTGTCCAATGACAGTCCAACAAAGCCAAAACGATAACTGCGCAGTTTGGTTGCGCAGAGAAAACCTTGATTCTAAGATGCAAGTTTTAGCAGCTGCTTTCTACATCTCATCTCCACAAAAACCTACATATCTCAGCTCAGAAATGACATACAAGCCTAAATGAGGTACCGTTGGAAAGAGATTGTTTACAGCTATCTAACTGTGCTGGTTTTATTGGTGTAGAGGGCATTTTGAAAATTTGACTAAAGTACCTAAATTATTATCATAAAAAAAATATAAAAAAACTACCTCGTCTTCTTCGTTATCAAAAGCCGACGGTGATGATGGCATATCGTTACTTGTCACTTTTTTATTTGTTTTTCGTTTTGCCGGTCGGACTTCTGTGTTATAATCATCTGCATCACCTTCCCCCATAATAGGCTTCAACCTTATCTTTTTATTTGTAATTTGGTCGGAAACTTCAGCGTTAGCCATCTTTGTTATTTGTTGCCGGGGAAGTTGAATGTGCAAATTAAATTAAACTTAAAATTTAGAGATCACCTTCGATCTCCAGCGTTGGAGATGATAAATAGTCTGGATAGGCCGTTAACGTAGCATCTTGCCTGTTGGGAATCAGGTTGTTGATACAAATGTAACCAAATTAATTTTGCTTTAATAACATTACTCTTCTGTAGTTATCAGGTGTCATACATTAAAGGTTCAGTAGCAAGCATAAATAAATAATTAAAGTGTTATTAACTACGTTAATCATTTTTTATTATTTCTAAATTTATTTACTTGTATAAATCAATAAATGAGAAATAATCTGGCTCGCGGGAAAGCTTGGCTTTATCGAACGTGATTTCCAAGTATGCGAATTGTGGCAGACTAGTATTATAATCTGTTCCACTGTTTATTATTTATTACGCGAATACTTCCTTTTCTACGTCAGAATGCAGACTACTTTGTAACCATAGAGATGCCCTCTTATAAATGTTATAAGGTTAAACGGGGTTTAGTTTATAGGATGTTCTCCTGTGATTGATTCTATTCTCACCCTTGAGTAGTAAGATTCAGAAATCCTGACTGACTGAATGATTCAGTATTAGTATTTGTGGATTCATCAATTCAATTAATCTAGGAGGGGCACTTGAATCCAGGATTCAGGATGATAACATGAATCCAGGAGCGAAACAATCTGCCCATCTCTACATCTATCATCTAGCCACTTTTTGTGTGCAGTTTAATTATAACACTTTTAGGTTCACTTTAAGTTTTACTCTATGTATGTCATTAATTTATATTTAATACAATAGTACATTAGTTCATCAAGTCATATCTTTATATATCTAACTGCACCTGACCTAGTGTCTGTTGATTCATGTGTAAGAAAGAAAGCTGGGCTCTGGGATTATGTTCGAACTCAGACCTGAAAACCTTAAAGCAGTATTCATATTCAGTATTTAACATATAAAAAAAAAAAAAAAAATAATAATAAAAACGTTGAAGAAATAAGCCCAAAGGAGTTATTAATCGGGCATAGTGCCCACTTGAACTATTAACTATGAAGTTTGATACCATTCATTGTCATGATGAAGGATTTAAATCATTGACATCACCCCACTTTGGACAAGTCTTTAAGTTCTTAGTCTCCCCAAGCAACAAATAGTTAAAGTGTGGAAATACTAATGATACTAATCGTCTAGAAGTCAGAGCTTGCAATCAGTGTAGACACTTCGATACTTGATCCCTAATCCAGCATCCATTGCCAAGAAGGGACATCAAGACGTGCATCCCTATGCAACAAACAATGCATTATGCATATTTTTATTTGAGTCGTACTCTTCCACCCACCTAAACTATATCCTAAGGATAATTGCTTACATTTCATCACATCCACTTTCTTTCCCCACAACCTTATAGGACGGGGACTTCACAGGTTTGAGTCCACTCATGCAACCACTCATGCCATAACCTTTGAAGATCTCATGAGTTAACATTTAAGTTGCCTGGGACTGAGAGAGTTTACTCTTATTCTTCTGTGTTAACTCTTAAAATGGTAGTTGGCACTTGTACTTTGGTTTTTAGCAAGACTTTCAGCCCACCACATCCAGTTTCAGCAAAACACTGATTATTGGCCTTTGACAGCATGCTTATTCTGGAGGCTGTGGGTATATTATTTTCTTTTTAATTATGGCAACTCCTTTGGGCTTCTTTCTTTACATAAGGCACCCTAGTAATATTTCATGTTCGTTCATTATAAGCACTGTTCAGCATAATTCTTATTAAAGCTATCCTATCAGTAACAAACATGGACATTTGTCTTTAGAAGACAGAAGAGTAATAGTCACGACAGAAATGAAATGTTCACATACTATGTTAGGTGTAACGAGAATAGATTGACTTGGGAAGGATGATATCAGGAGGAGAGTTGGCACAAAACCAGCCAATACTGAACTTTGTCAGTAGACAACAGACCAGATGGTTTGGCCATGTAACAAGATTTTCATCAGACAGGGCACTACAGAAACCGCGGTAACAGATCCAGAGGTTGATCATGCAGAATATGGATCACAGAGATATCAGAGACACTGAAAAGTACTTTATAGGAAGCAAACAGAAGGGCCAGTTGCAGATATCTCTTCCTTCTCTGATGCTGCGAGGCACTCCAGTAGAGGAAAGAATAAGAAGAAGATTCATTCTAAGTGCCAAGCTAATTTTACTCTTGTCAGTTTTTACCACGGAGATTAAATTAATTTGTTTCCGGTCATCTTTTGCAATATTGATATCATCGTTGGCTCTCACATGATCTCTCCGGTGAAGTGGTCAAGTGATTTGCATGGCGCTCTGGAAGTTGTGGGTTCATTTCACGGCTGTGCTATTCAGTTAACAAGTGAAATTTTTACAGAAATCCCTGGGAGATTGCGAGAGCTGTGAAGTTCGTGCTTTGTGCGATACTCTTGGCAGGCAGCTTGAAGATCTGTGGAGGCACACCTAGCAATATTGGATAAAACCTGATGCAGTGAAGTTGATCCTCTTGACTTTCACATTGTTCTAATTTCCTGATACTTTTATGAAGATGATATTTTCGGTTTGGTTTCAGATACATCACAGCAAATGAACACCTCAGCAGCCAGCAGTATTACATCTTCTAAAAAGAATATAAATACAGATAGCAGTTCAAAACATAAAGAGGAGCAAATGGATGCTTCAGAAACAGTATTGAAGAAAGAAGACATTGAAGACGATGATGTTGTCATCATGAAAGAAGAAAAGTTAGAACCAGAAAAACGGCAAACTCTGAAGAATATTAGCAAAACTATTGATGATGCTAAAGACATTGTCAGACTGACCGATACGGAGATTAATATTTTAACACAGGAGCTGCAGAATATGAAGGTTTGTTGTATGCATTGTTTTGTTTGTTGTTAAATTATTGTTTGTTGCTGTTGCACTATGACTAAGTAAAGTTGTTCATAATTAATCCAACTGAATATGTTGTTTTACCTCCACTCTAGAAACCTTGCATGTATGTTATTTAAACTTGTGTGTATTTCCTATTTTCCTTGATCCTTGGCCTCTGTCTGGAAAATAGTGTAATATCGTGCTGTAAGGAGGCATGGGACTCACAGCTTGTGGTGATGGTGTGTGTGACTAGCAAGACCCATCCATGTTAAGAAAAATCTTTCTCAGTTATAGCATGTGATTTTAGGATCAATGTTGGCATTTGTATTTGTTTTTAGTATGTTTAATTATTTGTACTCAGTGTGTTTCTTCTCAGAAACTCATCTCTCATCCTTTCTGCAGTAATTTTTTTGTAATTTACTACATAGTATTAAATGTACATAGAGAGACTCATAACGGCTTGTATCTTTGTCAGATCTTTAGCATGTGAACAGTATATGCATTATGAACTCATGTGTCAAAAGGCTGACTATATTTTCAAAAATATTATTGTGGCAATGTCTCTTTGTTTTTGTTATTTGTGTGTTTATGTTTTGTTTTTCCGTTGACTGTTTCAGGAGAGTCTCAGTGAGTCTGTGCTTCAAAGCCTTCACTTTCTCCTGGAAAACCCCAACTGTATGTTGTCAATGCCTGTGGATATCAAAGGTGTGGAGAGGATGATCGATTCTGTGCTGGCAAGTCTGCCCATCGCAGAGATGCTTGATTTGACCAAGGAGGAGTTTGAGACTTTTGATGATAAGCTTCATTTTATTGAACGTAAGTCTTATTATCTTATTGAAATTACTGGTTTTTTAATGACAGTGGACTATGTTATAAAGGGTACATAGGAAAAACTGAGATTAAATGATTGGTGCAGTAGATCGGAGCATCCATACTGGACGATAATTTATTTAGAAGTGGAACCTCATTAACTACTAAAGAAGGGGCATTTCATATTTTAAAATTTCCCAAGTACAAGGATGTAAATTTAGTCTTTTTTCTTTTTTTTGTCAATATCTGCTTATGCCGCTAGGCGTTGCAGTTCATCAGATGATCGGCAGCTGAGCCAGGGCGAGCTCTGTCGCTTGATATGTCGTGATGTTATACAGTCTCAAGGTGTCAGTGACTCCTTCAATCCATATTTTTCTCGGTCTTCCCCTGCCTCTTGCTGTTTACATTTTCGGGTTGTATGCTTTTGCTGCTGGTATCGTTGGTTTTATTCTTTGTTTCTCAATAAATTTGACGATGGGTGTTGTTCTAAAAGTTCTTGTGATCACATCATTTCTCACTCGATCTGTTCTGGTTTTATTCACAGCCATTCTCAAACATCTTATCTCACAGGTGGTAAGTTTTCTCTGGTGTTCTTTTGTCAGTGTCCAAGTCTGACTCTGGTGATCTAAAGACAGTATAAATATTGTATTTATAATTTGTCTTTTTGTCTTTAATGGGATAGCAGGGTGTTTTAAAATTGGAGCAATTTGGTTTGTGACATTGTTGGATTCTCGTTTCTATCGCTTAGTCTATTTTACTACTGTATGTAAAGATGCTTCCCAAGTATTTAAATTCTTGCAGTTGTTTCAGACTGTGATCTTTGTTTCAATGGTTTGTTGCTCTCTACTTATTCTAACAACTTCTGTTTTTTTTTTTTTTTTCAATATTTATTCACTGATATTAATTTGTTTAGTTGTTATCTGGAAAGTTGAGTCAAGTTTTGCACACAGACATTAACAGAAATTAAAAGCTGACCAATCTTGTATCAGAGGTTCATCTAATAGATTGGGCTATAGTTATGAACAGCCTTTGAACATTGGGCTGAAGCCTAAACTTTCAGTTCAGTTTGTCACCACCAGTAGTTAAAATACAATTGTTCCAGTGGATCAGTAGTTCTCAACCTTTCTAACGCTGTGACCTTTTAATACAGTTCCTCATGTTGTGGAAATTCCTGGTAACTTGACTTGTCTATTGGCGGTGCGTGTAGATTAAAAAAATTGGAAACTTTTTAAAGTGCAGTTGTGTCACCAACGCTATTCGTCATCACTTCAATCATTATCAAGTTATTTCAAAATCTCTAAGTTTTTTTAACTGACTGGTGTGCAGACATAGGTGCTGACATCAACTCAGAAAAGGCAGCTGTTTTATGGTGCTCTCGGAACAATACAATTGTTAGAGCTAATGTTCCAGGCCTCACAATTAATGACAGATTATTGACTGGCTGTTGTGTGGTTCTGCTAAGCAGTTTTACCTTCATTGCTTTCTGAACAGTATCACACTTCCAGCAAAGTATGGAGGATAGATGTGGCAGAATGTTTTGCTTCTGACAACACTTTGCTAATGCAGTCTCCACATATGGATAAAATTGTACTGTTTCGCTGCCTAAGCTACGGAGTGAAGTGCTTGGTGTAGCACCATGAGTAGAGTTTTTTCTTGTTAAAAAAAAGCCTATCATTTATTACTCCGATTCAGTAAATATGCTCAAGTAAATCCAGGCTGGCTTCATTAGACAAGAATGGATCCTCTCATTAAATGCATCATGAGTAACTCGCCTAACCTTTATCTTTGTATAAGGCTATGCAAGTCTTTAAGCAGTGAGCTTACAGATTATCTGACAAGGTGGTTACGAGACTGGCCCAGCACTGGACAGGAGTAATTCGACAACAAGCAGGACTCAATATCCTTGTCCAAGTTGGTGGACATGGGGGGTACAACCTAGCGCAATCACATGATGTTTGGTTAATCAACACAGAGCATGCCTGATTGGTATTTTTTGCTTTACGGAGCTATTGAGGAGGAGATCGGAGCACCTATGAATCTGTCTGGCGTGTTCTGAAGATGATTCATACTAATCATTAAATGACACTAAATCGTTAAAATCAAGGTGAAGCGGTCTGCTAACAGACATCTGCTGCTACTTGGAACTCTGATTCGCAGTTCTTTTGTATGTCCAGCATTTCTAGACCTAATTTGACTGTCTAATTATTTTTCCACGTCTTTACAATCGCAAATATATAGATAGCTTACATAATTTAATAACCTTTATCAACATGTTTATTGATTCAGGAGCCAACCAGTCAGTGTCCAAGTTATTTTTGGATTGTCATTCCCGGCTGAAAGAATTCAAACAGAGCCTTATCAGTGAAACAGAGGATGTTGATAAAGAGTATGTCTCTCCTTTGTTTATTCTTCGTGTACACAGGGATAAAAAACATTACTGTTGAATTAAGAATTGACATCACAGTACTCGGGACACCACCATAAGTGCTCGTTCTCCATCTTTAGCAGCAAGTAAAGAGTTAAAATTCTGATGGTACCAGTAACTGATTGTATATTCGTTTCGTCCTTTAGTTGAGCGTCGGCCAGATCCCCTGGCATCTTCCCGCATCACCATTCTCCTCAGACCATAAGGATCATTACTGATGATAGATTACACAAACTGATTATTATATGATGCACACTTAAAATGTACTGAACTGAAAAATGTGGGTGTGTGTTGTCCATCAAGATGATAATGACCACTCTTTTCATCAAGTATGAGTACGAAGATGACTGATGAGGCCGATGAGGGACCGAAAAGTTCTTGGACAGTGAGGATAAGGAATGAGCGTTGTGCCAGGAAGGGGATTTCCTGCAGTCGCCTTTCTGTCCATCCTTTTCTTAATCAGTCTTGCTGTTCTGTTTGCTTCACATGTAGGCACGCCCTTGTGTAGAGTTGCAGGCCATGCATTTCGGTCTTGCCATCTGATCTGCATTAGTTTTCTAAGGCAGACTGTGTGAAAGTGGTTTAACTTTCTAGTCTGGCGCTGGTATTACATTCCATGTTTCACATGCGTACAGCAGTGTAGTTAATACAAATCCTTTGTATACTTTAAGCTTTGTCTGCAGGGTTATGCCACTTCTGTTACAAACATTTTTGTACAATCTGCCAAAGGCAACGCTAGCCCTAGAGATCCTTGCATTTACTTTGTCATCGATTGTGGCGCTCTGTGAAAGGGTGCTGCCTAGATAAGTAAATTTTCTGAGAGCGTTGAATCTGTAGCCATTCACTGTGATATTGTGTAAATGTGTACTGTTGCATTCGTTACACATGTGTTTTTACATTTCTGCCATTGAAAGAAGTGTGGGTTAGTGGGTTACAGGAGAACAAAGTTCAGATGAACCAACTTGTAGTGATGCATGTTTGACTCAAAGTTTGGGAGCAGAGTAGAACAACACAAAACAGTTCAATGGTGTTTTTAAAAAAAAATTATATTTTTATTTTTAATATGACATGGCCTTATCGTATATGGAAAGATATCTACCAGTGTCTTTAACTCAGTTACTTCAGCTTACTACATTGATTGCAAGTATACATTTTCTTATGTACACAAAATAAGGATATATGAATCATGTTGGATATATTGTGAAAGCTCTATATATTTAGGCACTTGATGAAAGCTCTGTATATTCAGACATTGATGAAAGCTATATATTTAGGCACTTGATGAAAGCTCTGTATATTCAGACATTGATGAAAGCTATATATTTAGGCACTTGATGAAAGCTCTGTATATTCAGACACGGATGAATGCTATATATTTAGGCACTTTATGAAAGCTCTGTATATTCAGACATTGATGAAAGCTATATATTTAGGCACTTGATGAAAGCTCTGTATATTCAGACATTGATGAAAGCTATATATTTAGGCACTTGATGAAAGCTCTGTATATTCAGACATTGATGAAAGCTATATATTTAGGCACTTGATGAAAGCTCTGTATATTCAGACACGGATGAATGCTATATATTTAGGCACTTTATGAAAGCTCTGTATATTTATTTGATGAAAGCTCTATATATTTAGACACTTGATGAAAGCTGTTTATGTTTAGACACTTGATGAATGCTCTATATAAAATGTCAACAGCTTTTAACTAGAAAAGTTAACCGCTCTCTTTTTTCTTATGAAAGAGTTTTAATACTGAGATGTCATTGTGATGATTTTAGATGCATTTCAAGGTATTTGGTTAATTCGTTCATTTCAGAATTAAAGAATATGAGTGCAGTAAACCTGAACCAGATCAGAACTGTGTGATGATTGACAGTGATGATGATGATGTGACCATCCTGTCTCCACCTGTCAATTCTAACCAGCCGGGACAGAGGTGGGTCATAGGTCAACTGTCCTTACAGTACTTTCAGATACTACGGATGAATGTAAACATTAGCAGCAATGTCAACAATGACAGTGTTATTGTTTGTTTATCTCTGTCAGATGGACAAGATGGTCCATTCCCCTCTTCCCCCTCCCCCTCCTGTTACAGCCTGGGGTAGAAAAGGAGCTGCAGGTAGTTAAAATGTTTTTAGGTATCGCAGTTGTCTGTATGGCATTTGTCTGTGTGTCAGTTGTCTGTATGGCATTTGTCTGTGTGTCAGTTGTCTGTATGGCATTTGTCTGTGTGTCATTTGTCTGTATGGCATTTGTCTGTGTGTCAGTTGTCAGTATGGCATTTGTCTGTGTGTCAGTTGTCTGTATGGCATTTGTCTGTGTGTCAGTTGTCTGTATGTGCATCTGCCTGAGAGGCAAGAAACCAGCAGTCTGCATACAAATGAGTCAGACCTGTCAAACGAATGCAAACACAACACTCAGGTTCTGGAACAGGACTGCAGTCCAGAAGTGGATGAACAACCAGAAGTTTCCACCAGAGTTTACAGCTGGTGAACGCAAAGAAGAAGATTGGCGGTACACAAGACAGAAAGCTAAGGATTGACATGATGTTCATTGTGGCATGGCATGGACCATAAGAGCTAACTATAAGATCTTGTTCGCGTTCACTGGCTGTTAACTCTGGTGAAGAGTTTGTCCCCTTCTGGACTACCTTTATTCCATAACTTAAGTTTTGTGTTCCTTTTAAGAGTTCTGGGGAGACAAAAGAATAGACCCACTGCCCCCGCATAACAAGCATGTCATACAAGTCGAATAATTAGGAGTGTTTCCTTTGAAGTCAGATAGCATCTGCCTGTGAGGCAAGGAACCAACAGTCTGCATACAGTTAAACCAGATATGAAAAATGGATATGGACACAGAACTGAAGCTCTGTATCAAGACCAAAGTCCAGGAGTGGACGAACAACCAGAGCTTCCCATCAGAGTTTGCAGCTGGTGAACGGTAAGAAGAAGCAGAAGTTTTGCTTGCACATTCATTTTACAAATCTTGCTTTTTGTATGCAGGCTGTTGTTCCTTGGGCAGAAACACTCCATCTTTAAAGGAAACACCCCTAATAAGTCACCTTTTATGAATTGGGGCAGTGAATCTATTTCTTCCCTTAAAAATGGTACACAGGAACCCGCACAGGGAAGAAAAAGATAATTGTCAAATAAATATTTGTAAATAATATTGAATGTATTTTTTGTTCTAGTCTGCTTATGCAACATTTTTGTCTATCAGTGAGAGAAAATCTCCAGGAGCAAATGTGGCGCCCCCACCTCATAAATCACCCGCAGCACCCAGAATCCTGGCAACTCCAGGAAAAAATCAGCCCATGCCTTCAATGGAGCAGCTGCGATCTCAGTTTGCCACAGCGGTCAACAAATCAATGCCTACTCTGATATCTTCTCTACAAAATCAGCAGGTAACTGGGGAGTTTGAACCAAGATTTGATTAATATATGCATTACTACCTTGCTGCGCTTCTTATATATTCTCAAAGTCTTCTTCTTCTTCACGTTCACTGGCTGTTAGCTCTGACAGAAAGTTCTGGCTGTTCGCCTACTTCTGGATTTAGGTTTTGTTCCAGAACTTGAGCTTTGCGTGCACATCTAATTTATGATTTGGCAAATTTGTTTGCAGATTTGGTTCCTGTCCTCTTAGTTAGTTGCACTCCAGTTTTGAAGTAAACACCCCTAATTAATGTTACTATATGTTTTTGTTTTAGTTGCTGTAATGCTTTGCATTTTTTAAAAACACATTTTCTAATTTATTTTAATTTGGTGTGAAAATTGTGTTGCTCAGTAATAAAGCCAACTTGTTATAGATATTCTTATTGAAACAAATATTTTAATATAAAAAAAAAAACATTTGTCCTGAACTCCCATGATCCCGCCTTAAATGTGTTTTAAAAAAATGACACGGCTTATATCGACCATATATCTTATCTATTTAGTAAATCGACAGTTTATCCTAACTACATCTGACAGTTCCAAATTCATATACTTGACTAGTTCTTATTTGAAAATAAAAATTATGAGCATTCTCTACACCTGAAGGTCTTTGGAAGGGTATTTCCTCTTTTTTTTTTACATGTAATTGAAACCATATTTTGGCACAATACCATAGTCATCATCATCATCATCATCCTCATCATCAAGTGCCTTGCCAACTTGCGTGGGTGATCCTGTGTTGACATTTTTCCTTGTCATAACAGATGGCTGTAAAGAATTGACTCGCATTGTCTTCCACTGCCTCTTATCTCACAAATATTTCCAGTGGTCACATGTTTCAGTTTCCTTCTTCTCAAAACGTGGCCCCAAAAAAATGATGACTGTCTTTTTCTGATGTTAACACCTGGTAAATCTGAAATGTCTTTTCATATCTTTTCAGGAAATCTGTTTTAGAAATTATCAATCATAACATTAGTATGTTTAGTACATTGTTGATTATAGCTCTGGATTTTATTCATTGACACCATGTCTCTGTCATGTCTCATGTTTCCAGCCGACGGATGCTACCCAATTACAGAGACCCATAGCTCCACAGCCAGTTCGATGGTAGGAAGACACTTTTTTGTGTGGGGGGGGAGGGGGGGTATAGGTTATTAGGATTTGGGGGGGGGGGGGTGTATACCCTTTTCTCTGTCATTGTGATGTATTGAGTATATAGTGCTTAGTCCTGTTAAATCATTAAGGAGGAAAATACAGACTTTTGAACTGAAATGCTGCAAAAAGATTCTCAGTATACCATTGACGAAGAAGAAGAAAAATACTGACATCCTTATAGACCTGAACATCAAAGAAGATTGGCTAGTAAACAGCATCAGAAACTGAAATATATTGGCCCTATCAAGCACCACAGCGGACTGGAAAGAATGGTAGCAAAAGGCATGGTGCCAGGGAAGAGTAGCAGGGGCTGACCAACGCAAAGATCAGCACAGGATATAAGTGACACCTTGGGTAGGAAATTGTACAAGATGGGAGCTGTGGTGGGAGACCACATTTTTTCCAGGCAGGCTTTGATGAATGTGATGTGATACTACATGATGATGGTGGTGCTTAGACCCACAAGGTACTTAGTGAGTGATGTCTGCATTAATTATACTGGCCGCCTTATCTCTCAGAAGATTCACCGGTGTATGTGTGTGTATATATAAATATACATATTTTTATAAAATGGAGTTGACCCTGTAGTAATATTGCAGAGTTTAGCAGTTTTCCTACCAGCCTGGCGAGCATAGGATTAATTATCCCTAGTGTGCAATTGTAACAGGCTTTCTGTCCAGGATATTTTGGTGTGGGTGGTACGGAGCAAGCTAATACACTGGCTGCTGTCGCTCCTCTAGGTGATGGGCTAGCTACTTGATAATAAAGCAGGCGGGGTGAAGGCTCTCTAGAATTAAGTTGACATCGCAACAGAACAGTCTCCATACCTTGAAAGACAGAGGGAGGGGGGTGAGCAGAGGTACAGTGAGCTATTCAGTACAAAGGGGGAAATTTAGGCAAGCTCTTAATGAGGTCATTAAGATATCAGGATATCAACTCTTCATTAGCTACTGAAGAAGGGGACAGAATAAGAGTGCAGGGAAATAAGTTCTTGATTTATTCATTTAATAATCCACATTCCTCGAGGCAGAAATTGGCTTGGATTACCATGTCTCAGCCAATCAGATGCTATTGCCACAATAAATGTTGGCTGTAATGGGTCCCAAAATTGTGTCTTTCACACTTGGATTTTACTATCTTAGACAGTTGTTTCTCCAAATCTTGCTGTTATCCTCCTGCTTCTTCTTCTTCTGCGTTCGACATATGTCATGCTACACATTGAGTCGCGTCTAGGTCAAAAATAGGATTGTTTAAGGTCGCCACCGGTCCCCCATAGCTTCTCTCACAATGTGGATCCCCTGGGCCAGATCCAGTCTTTGCTGGGAGAGGTAAGGGCAGTACTGCAGTATGTGCTCAGGGGTCTGTCTTTCTGCTCCACAATCACAGGCAGCAGATTCTTTTATGCCTATCCTGTACAGGTGTGCTCAAAGACCACACTGTCCAGTCCAAAGTCTAAAAATTGATGTTTGTTCTTTCCTGTTGAGTTTGTTTATGCTGTCACTCTCTGGTCTGTAATCTCTAATGTGCTTTCTCCACTCCCGCTTGAAAGACTGCTTTAGTGCTGTTTTGGTTTCCTTGTAGCTGTGTGGTGGATAAGGTTTTTCAAGATTACTCCCAGCTTTTGCCAACTCATCTGCTCTCTCATTTCCTTGAATACCACAGTGGGCTGGTATCCACTGCAAGACCAGTTCTGCTTCCTTGGAGAGTAAGCCAATGTTGGTCCTTAGATCTGCAATTAGTTTGTCTTGTTTTTTGCTTGATAGTGCTTGGAGAACAGACAATGAGTCACTAAGTATAACAATTTTGTGCCCTCTGTGTTCTTGAGTGTTCCTCCTGCTAATATCAATCACTGTCTACCTCTTGCTCAGTTACCTTCAACTTTCCATCCAGTGTAGTTTTTTTAAAAAAGAGTGTGTGTCTTTTAAATATGGTCAAATTATTTTCAGTATCTGTCAAATCCAAAAGGATACCTGGGAAAGTCAGCAGGCAGAAGGTTCCCCACATCACTCATTAAGCGTCATTTGTCTGTGAAAATATAACACCGAGTTATAGACTCAAGAATTGACATCATTGCACTCCGGACAATCCCACGCGTGTTCCGTCTCCTTCTTCAGTAACCAACGAAGAGCTGACATGCTGATGGTACCAGTAGTCAACCTTTAATCGTATGAGAATACTACACTCTTGTAAATGAAAGGCACGCAGGGCTACAGAGCCATCATGTGGGTGTGTAGCTGTGATGCACTAAATACTTAATTGGTATTCAATGCACTAAAATATTCTTTACAATTTGGGGTTTTGTGGACCCCTAGGGTGAGTGGAACAAATTTAAATGGTTTGTGAAATCATTTACAAAATGCCTCCCTTAACTTTGTAATGCAATTCTTTTTGTGATTCTAATATTGATATATTACTAGATTTAATTGCCTGGCTTCGCCCGGGATAGTGAAAAACAATTTCTTATTCTCCCATCCTCTACCTCATCTTGATTTCCACTGCTGCCCTATATGTAATATGTAAGCCTAGTGGAAATAGGGGTCCAACTAAAACCCTATACTTAATATCCTATCATCTACTTCATCTATGTCTCCACCACTGCCCTATCTTGTCATTGCCCACATGCACACTTGAGGCTTCTTCTGTAATACTTACACCAGTATTTAACAGTTTAAGAGACAGACAAATGTTTTGTCTCAGACACATATAGGTATATGGTTGCAAGGAAGTTAACTTCGAAATATAATTTTGAAAGGGATATAACACCAGCACAAATTTACTTTTACAGATTATCGCAATAAATAAAGAAATGCACAGTAACCTGGGCTGCCATTGTGAATGTTAACAGGAGTTAACATTTCATTTTTAATAAACACACAAAATACAAAAAGGGTTTGAGATTTTTAGTATAGATAAAACGAATGGCATCATAATAGGTATATGTGTGTATGTGTATTCATGTGAATGTGTGCACATAGGTCAGGCAGTAAATGAGGTATAATATTTTGATTCGTTATTTTTGTCTTGACAGGCCAGAACTAAAAGTCCAGGATAAAGTCTTGGGGAAGAAATTCAATGATGTGTGGTATTATGGGACAATCTTGGACATCTACCCAGCTGTACCTGAGGAAAACCAAGAGGTGTGTTTTATATATATGTATGTATAAATGACCCCCCCCCCCCTCCCTTTCCGGTTTCTATCTTTCTCTTTCTTTGTGTCTATCTTTCTTTTTCTTCTAACTATCTGTGAATGGGTGCCTGGACAATTTAATATAAATGCTTCAGTCCATGCCCAGCATAGATTTTGAATCTAGGACTCAGCTATAATTTTATGTCAGTGCATGTGGTCTTTACCTTTGAACCTTCTGCCTTAGGGACCTCAGCACTGATAAACATGCCATCATTGGCTGTGCTGTTTTGATTTGTTTTTCTTTTTCTTCCTAAACTTTGAAAGTTTAATCACCTTGAACTTGTTAATGTCCTTAAACCATGACCTGTTTTGATTACTCTTGGATGTCGTCTGCTCCACAGTGGAAGTGCAAGGTCAAGTTTGATGGCAAAGGCATGAAAACCCTCCCAGGAAGACTAGTGGCGTATAAAGATCCCATCAACTGTTTCCTGAGAGTTGGGACACGTATTGTAGGTGGGTGATTGTGTCTCAGTGTTGTTCAGTAAAGGAAAGAACCCACTCTTTTAATGTCATTTGCACATCGGGGCATATGATGCTAGACATATTTGTACAGGTCAGTCGTCAGTCAGCACTGGGGGTTGTGGGGGGGGGGGGGTGATGTGGCCAACATCTTTACTTCCAAGGGCATTGCCTGGTACACATTTTTGGCTGGGTTACAAACTATAAGCCTGGGTTAGTTTTGGAAAACAAATCTCCAGTTCAGTGCAGATTTGAACCAAAAACCTTTGGCCTGCAAGGTGAGTGTCTGCAGTGTGAATATTGGTTATTGTTGAATCACTTCATTTTGGATATTAAACTGTATTCTTTTTCTTTTCTCTACTCCTGGAATGTCTCACAGCATCAGGACAGGAAGAGTTCTCTGTGTTGGGCACTTCTGTTTGCTTTTTGTAAAGCACTTTTCAGTGACACTGATATGTCAGCCGTCCAGCTACTGCTATGTATTGTGTGTATGAAAAGATTCATCTTGTGATGAACCTTCTTGATTTCAGCTGTTGGAGTGGGGGATTTCAAATAGTTGTAATGATCACAGACAGGTACAGTTCCAGCATGTGGCAAACTATCTTGTAACAGTAATTATCCGAACTGCAGGCTCAAACTCTTATTAACTTTGGCTGGACTTGTCACTGGTGCATTGATGTAAATGTTTGTAATAAATTTGGTCTGGTCTATTGACAGATTGCATACTTTATGATTTCTCAGTTATTCAACACTGAGTGGGATACATAAGTGGACTTTCAATTAGGTTTCAGCTGGGACTATTAGCATGTTGACGCTTTCATTGGCTAATGAAGAAGGGAACGGAACATGAGTGTGAATGCCCTGAGTGCAGTGATGTAAATTCTCGATTCAATCATTCCTTTCTCAGTGTAAAAGTTTCCATACTTAGCTACGCATTGGTTGTTGAACTAGCGACAGACATCACAGAACTCACGATATTCCAATAAGTGCTCTGTCCTCATCTTCAGCAGCCAGCTAAAAGTTCCAGTTCCAATAGGGCCAGTAGCATTTCGATTATATATCCGCTGTAATGAATGTACTTGTGTCTCCTCCACACTTGATCTCTCTAGTGCAGATTCAACACTGACTCTGTTGTCTAGGTGTTAGGTCACAGCTCATTCTAACCAGACGGCATTTCTCTCCACGGCCACACAACTTCAAACGACGGTCGACACCAGCTGACACTTTTCACAGGTTTATTATCACTGTAGCACAAGACACGAATCAACATATGAACCAACTTACACCATTTGGGCAATCTCGCCTTGCTCACGCATTAAGGCTCCAGACATGCTTCAGACGATGGACACTGGCATATACACGGCTGGCTCAACAATCAAACCGTGTAACACAACGGCTGGCCTTCACGATCATTCATTCAACTCTGATTCAGATCCACGTGCACTCTTCATTCTGGATTCACCTTCACAGATTCATCTTCACATCCTTCCAGTCTCAATCCCCCAGATCTCGCATTCACACGTGACTCACTCACTCTTGTCTTTTCACCATCTCTCTGTGAAACTCATGCTATCAGGGACTTACCCAATTATGCCAGTCATCCCCTGACGTTATCCCTTTTTATAGCATCATTACATCCGCCTTCCCTTTGCTTTGAGTGTAGTGTCAGCCACAATTCTTGGTCACTTCTAGCTTTTCCATTATCTTCAGACCGTAATTATCTGTTCGTGCGTCCGCACTGTTCACTTGCTTCCAAAAGGCCTTGACCACATCTAGCTTGTCATGCATACATTTATCACCCATTGGTGGAGAACCAGTCGGTCTGCCTGCCTTTTCATTTCCCAACACCCCTGCATGTCCCAGAGAAAATATCAGAATATAAATTTTCATAGGCTATCAGCGTTAGGTGTCAGCTATGAAGACATTCACCTGACTTTTTGGGGATGTGGCTGTATCTCATGCTTTTACTTGTCAGAACATTTTCTGGTGTCTGTTTTAGAGGAAATAAAGATGGGTTTTTTTTTTCTTTCTTTTTTTTCGAACTGATAAAATGAACATTGATAAGGGGGGCCAAAGGTGCTGGACTGGGTTCCGCTAATGATAACGATTGGATAGCAGAGGATAGTTATGGAATGGAGGAATAGACCGCAAGCAATGCCAGACATATAATGACACAATAGAATGATTATTTTGATTTCAACTTATGTTAGTTAAGATTTTAGGCCAGTTTTGTTGTTGTAGTAAATTACGTGCCTGACTACAACACCAGCAGGCTAGTGGATTTCTTAATATGGTCACATATATTGGTTTGCTAATTTTGTGGCAGTTTTTACAGATTCCTGGGGATCATCACTGAAGCTACAGAGTTTGTGCTTTGTATGGCATTCTTGACAGGCAGCTGGCTGCTCTGGGGGAGAGAGATCCAGCAAAAAGGGATTACATATCTGGTGCAGTGAAGTTGATTTTTTCAACTTCAACTTTAACATACAAATTATGAATCTGAATTAGTTATCAAAGTTCCCTGTATGGGTTCGGGGACCCCAAAATTGGATAAGAAGAATGGACTCACTGCCCCTAATAAGCATGTCGCAAGAGTAATCTAATTAGGGATGGTTACCTCAAAGTTAGAGTGCATCTGCCTAAGAGGCAAGGAACCAGCAGTCTGCACACAAATAAGCCAGATCTTTTAAATGGGATGTTTATGCAACACTTAGGTTTTGGAGCAAGACTTAATTCCAAAAGTGGATAACAACCAGAACTGTGCCGGAGTTTACAGCCGGTGACTGCTAATTAGAAGAAGAAGAAGTTATAGAAGGATGCATTTTGTTACAGCTGTTCTAATGTTGTTTTATGTTTCAGCATTATACAGGGAAGATGATGCTCCTAGCACATTCTATGCCGGGGTTATTGCAGAAGCTCCAAGTATAAAGAATAACAGAAGGTGAGGAACTCTTTATTAACAGTAATAACTTCCCAATGTAAGAATCACTAATTTAGAGCTTTCAAAGAGAACGAAACAAATTCCTGAGAGTCAAGAGTTAAGGAAAAGGCACTGGCATTTGATAAGGGTAACATTTAGAAAATAAAACAACAATATAGCTAGAATATCTTTGCACTGAAACAGAGTTAAATAGGCCACCCAAAAAAATATATGTAGAAGGGAATTAGGGAAGATGGAAAGCTGCGGAGGACATGGATTGAGCTGTGTGCAGTCACATAGGATAGGATGACTTAGCCGAAGCTGGCTGAGGGTCTGTGTGTCATTAGGATATGAGAGGCAGCATAAGAAGGATAACATCTTATTTGGCATTTCATGTTAAGCACACGTGAAACCTCTGCAAAGCTGTTCTTCGCAAACGAAAGCAGAGTAGAACTAGGGCCTTTTCTGATTATGGGTGACATTACCTCCTCGCCTGTTTGGCTGTAACAACAATACCCCCTCAACCATCTGGGTGTAACAACGTTACTTCCTGAGTGATCTGGATGTAACAACATTACCTCCTCAGCAGTCTGGATGTAACAGAATTACCATCTCACCTATCTGGATTTATTTGACAGGAAACTCTTATGAAAGCGGCATTCAAAGGTGCAGAATTGGAGATGTGTAGATCTGCTTATAAAACTAGCAGATACCAGCTGTGGAGCATATCTACTAAACTTATTTTCTCCCTGTCCTGTGCGGTCATTGGTTGTATTAATTATACTTCTTCTTTACATTTTTGGTACAATAACTCTTTCTTTGCCATGTACATGTTAATTAATCTTCAGGTATCCGATAGTCACAGTTCCAACTTCATAGCAAACTGGTCACCCGATAGTTGCTCCGATAGTCACAGTTCCAACTTCATAGCAAACTGGTCACCCCATTGTTGCTGTGATCATGTGCCAAAAGAAACCACACAATGTCCATCACTGTCCCCTGTGGAAAAATGGACACTGACTGCAGTCTCAGAATATCCAGTAGCATACACAGGCATTAAATGTACAAGTCAGCCGTCAGAAGTGCTAACATAAACATTTCAGCACTAGAAATGCAGTTCATCATTAATGGAAGCAGAAGTTACAGTAGATCAGTAGTTGCACACGTGATTAATCACATGAGGCACCACCATTTCTGTGGCAACAGGCTGATCGCTGTTTTCTGAATTTTACAGTTCACACCACAACCCAAGTTGGTCACAGTTGAAAAAGATAACAAATAAATTCTGCAGCTCATTGTTGCACCAGGCACTCAGCTCAGGGAGCTGGCGATGAAACTGTATCCCTCTAGTCTACATATGGAGGAAAAAGCAATGGCCAACTATTATCAGAAACAACATAGTAAACCCACCTATCCTCTATATTGACCAGAAGTTGAAATTAACCTTATGCAACCTAGTTGTTGCTTTGGCTATCTCTGCCCCATGTAATTGTTACATTAACCCACTCATAGTTGCTTTAATTCCTTTTGTCTTGTGTTGTAATATTGTAATATTAATTCCTTTATATCAGAATGATAATTAATTTGAATTATTAACATGCTCGGCAGAGATGTTAAAATATAAATGCCTGAAAGAGTTGATAAGAATTTACCTTGAATTTTCTTCTTCTTTGCGTTCACCAGGTGTAAACTCTGGCGGAAACTTCTGGTTGTTCCATCCACTTCTGGACTGCAGTCCTGTTCCAGAATCTGAGTGTTGCATGTGCATCCGTTTTACAGATCTGACTCATTTGTATAAAGATTGCTGGTTCCTTGCCTCTCAGGCAGATGCATTCCACTTCAAAGAAAGCTCCCAATTAGTCGACTCTTAGACAGGCTTTTGGGTAGGCATTGGGTCTATTCTTGTTTTCCCTATAATAGGGCCCCGGAACCCATACAGGGGAAATTTACCTTGAATAATTTTCTTGTTGTGTGATTCCGTTTCAGGTTCCTGGTATTTTTTGACGATGGCTATGCTCAGTACTGTGATGCCAAGGAGTTGCACAAGGTTTACATGCAGAGTAAGAACCTTTAGATCATTGCTTTCTTGGTTTGAAAACTCTGTGACTTTGTTCATATGAGAGTAAAGTTTGTTTCTGGAGATTTATTGTGGGACTGATATTTGCTGTGAACCAGACATCACAAAAATGCATAGTGCTGCAAAGATCATCATCATCAGTTTCCACTTCTTCCATTAAGCGTTGTGGGGAGGAACAGCTTGTGATCCAATGCTTGATAGGCAGCAATGGATATTGTCATTGCACATTGATGTAGAAGCTCTTTAATGTCATCAGTCCATCTTCTCCTAGGACGACCTCTTTCTTTCACTTCGGAATCCTTCATGTGTAGCGCCTGCATTGGTAGTTGTTCTGGCTTCTTTCTTACTCAATGACCAAACCATTTCATCTTCTGTTTCTTAGTGAATTTGCTTCATGGTGTTGTTCCTACAGTTTGTCTGATATTATCATTTCTAACTTTGTCTCGGACGGTTGGCGGCTTTTCTCAGGTGCTGCAAAGATCACACCTGAGTAAACTAGTTTGTTAAGATCGTACAAGCTTTGCTATGTTTGTGTCTGTATGTCAGGTTTTTTTTTTTTGAACAGCCTATTATGTCATCCCTTCAGTACTGACAGTTTAATGGTGTACAGCTAATTCAAGCTTGTATTTCCATGTTAGTGTTGTGTCTAGCAGAGAGCCTAGAAAGTCACTGGGGCATCTTCTTTGTTGAGGTTGTTTCTTAAGCATTTAAACATGTGGCACAGCTTAACTTTTTATGCTATAGTCATAATGGTAGACTTGATTACACACTAGTGTAGCAGTTTTAGGTTGGTTCTCTGTTAAGGTGTCCCTACCCGCCAGCGATAGGTCAAGTGGGCTTCGTAAATGAATACAGATCTCTAAGAAGGGAGGTATACATTCATGAGGCTATGATCACTTTTGTGTAAAAGTAACACTTCACACCCCTCTCCCCCCAACCCTTATTTTTTTTTTTTCTACTTATGCCTGCCATAGGATAACTGATGAGGTTGACAGTCATTTGTCTCTTTACATCTTAATTCCATCTTCTGCTTCTTCTGATTTTTCTTCACCTCCTCTTTTATTGCTTCACTTGTCAAGGAGGACATGGCTCTGTTCTTGCTCTTCTGGACACCTTGACCATAGATGTTTCAGGCTGTTGTAGAGTTTCTCTGATGTCATCTTTCTATCTTGTTCTTTGTCTGCCTAGGGCTTTTCATCTCTTTCATAATTCCATAACCTTGTACATGCAAAAACGCATGCATGTTACACTTACCTAGAGTATTTGTGTTTACAATAACCTGTGCCTGATAAAAAAAAATGTTTTATCCTCCAGGTGAGAATGTCTGGGAGGATATCAACATTGAAACCAGTGCTTTCATCAAGGAGTACCTGCGGATATACCCTGAGGTAAAGAGCTGCTTTCAGCTTACTGTCTTGTTCAAGCTTGTTACACTGTAGATCAGTCGTTTTCAGCCTGTTTCCGGTGATGCCTCCTTGAACAAATGACAAACCCCCACCACATGCCCCGCCACCAAACATAAAAAACAATGTGATTAAAAGAGAATGGATCGAAAAATCCCAAGCACTATTCTTAACAAGTATTTTGAAAATTCAAAGTGTCAAATTATAAAAGAAACAATCACCAACAACTGGTAATTTAGTGTAAGTGTCAATGTTTTGTTTGACACTGTTTTCACTTTATGAAATCTGCTTTTTTGGGGGGGGGGGGGGGGGGGGGGGGGTCCATTTTGGGACAGGGCACAACAGAGAACAGTCACCACATCAAACTGACTGCTGTTTTTTTTTTTTTTTTAACTGTTAATTTAAATTTGTTGTTAAACTGAGAAAACAAATGGGACCATACCCCCATTCCAGGGCCATTAAAAAATATAGAGAAACTATTTGTTAAACATTTATTGGTAACATAAAGAATACTTTTTTTTTTAGGTTGACATTCAGGTATTCCCATGTGTCATGAGCACATTTTGTTTTTGTTTTTAGCATTCTAGGTTTTAATATGTTTTTGTCAGTGCTAGCAGATTTTTATTTTTTTTAAACATACAAATTTGAAATAAAGTAAAGCATTGTATTATGTTTGTCTCCTGATATATGTCTTTTTTTTTTTTTTAAATCAAGAGGCCCATGGTCAGGCTTTCCAAGGGGCAAGTGGTCAGAACAGAATGGAATGGCAAATGGTAAGATTATTTGTAAGTAAATAGAGGGCACATTTCCATACTTTGAGGTGTAGCGGCCATTTGGTAATAGCCCTAGTTTTTTTTTGGTTTATAAACCACTTGGCATTTGATCGGCTATGTGGTCAATACGGTACTGTGCCGACCACCTTCACCTCCTCAAAAAATTAACAGGTTTTCATTTTAGGTTGTTTCAGTCCACAGGCTATATCAGTTTTGAAAAAGATCCTTGATGGAGATTTAAACCTTTACTGCTGGGCTGGCAAGCAGATTCGCTAACCCTATACCACCAAGGCTTCCTTTATTCATATTCTTTTTCTTCTTTCGTTCGCATGAAATAAATTATCTATATCTGCAATTCTGTCTCTAGTATGAATTTAACTGTCTTTTGTAATTCCTTAAGTGGCCCGTAAAGTTTGACTTTTACAAGTGTCTCTTTTGGCCAGAAGTTTTGCCTGGAAGCGTTGAATCTGGGAAAGTCTTGGAGGATGTGATCTGTTGTCTCAGGTGGGAAGGTATCCACTGCATTTCTAAATTACAACGGTTGCCTAGTTCGGATAATAGTGTCTGTATGCTTGGTAATTTTCCAGGTTGGAGTGACTGAAATAACGCTTTTGCATCTGTCAGGAATACCACTGGTTGTGAAAAATACCCTGTATTTAGTAGTTTCTCTACTGCTATCTTGTTGGCTTGAACTTCTGCATCATAGTTGTGACAGTGCTTTCCTGTTGGTATTTTGACTGTATCCCTGGTATTATTAGGATACTCAATGTACACTCCTGCACCTCCGTTTCTGACTGCACTTTCTGACCCAACTGTGTAAACACGGACCCAAAGATTCTGCAGGTATTCATCAAGTAGACTGATGGTGGCTGTTTTACGCAGCACAGTTTTGTTCTTCCTTGTCAAATACCCCTTTCACTTCAGTCTTGATGTGTATTGGAAACTTATACTCCTCTCTCCAGGGGGTCCGTTCTGGGACAGCATTTAAGGATCTATAAGTTGCAGGTAAATCAGTGGTTTGTCTGCCGAGCCGTTTGGCCTGGTGGATAAAACTACTTCTCTTTAGTCGTCCCAAAGCAAAATTTTTGAATCTTTCATTCACAGGGTGACTGGGCATACTAAGAAACTTTTCTGCTTGTAAAAGCATCTTGGTGTCTCTGCGTTCACTCAGTGCTTGGGTCATCCCCATTTTCTCCATCACAGCTATAGGTGTTGATTTCATACTGCCTGTGGTAACTCTGAGTGCTTGATTTTGCACTTTGTCTAATTCTTGCAATGTGGTTTTTGATGCCGAACTCCATGCTGTTTATCCGTTTTCAAGATGTGGTCGAACACTTTGTTGGTACACTTTATTCATATGTGGTGTGAGATGGTCAGTTTTGTGCCAGCTGTATGTTTTTAGTCAGATCTCTGGTACTCATTTTGTGAGCCTGGATTGAACTTTGCCACTACATGTGTTTGAATATGAGGCCATGTTTGCCAACTACTCTGCCACTGTAATTGCTGATATGCATTTAAAAAAGTAAGTAAGTAAAGGTAAAGGTCCCTTTTCCATGCTTTTAGGCATATAGGCCTATATTTTTATAGACTAATCGGCACAAGATGGGTGATGTGGTCAGCATTATGCTGGCCGACTTTACTTCCCCATGACAGCCATCCTGGTACCCATTTTAGGCTGGGTCGACCTGCGATGCCTGAAACCATGATAAAAATCCATTCAACCTGCAGTGGGTTTCGATCGCGGTAAGTTAAAATTACAAGTCGGACTCGCAATGCCTAAGCCAGATATATATTTAAGGTCATTTATAAGTGTCTCTACCCTTTAGATTGGTAATCAAGTAATCACAGTTTCACAGTTTCAACTTTACAGCAAACAGGTCAACCCATAGTTCAGTAATTCTCAAACTGCGCCGCGGTGCCCCTGGGGGAGCTACAACCTCTTTACAGGGGCGCCGTGAAATATTGTAAAAGCTTCATAATTAATTTAACCAAGACACAAATAGTCATACTTTTACTGAGGTTAGGGCACCGTGGAATAATTTTAGTGGAAAAGGGCACCGCGAGCAAGACAAGTTTAGGAAACAATGCCATAGTTGCTCCGTTCCTGTGCCACTGAAACCACACAGAATATTCCTCAGTGTTGAATGTTAGGAGTCACCAGGGGGAGCTGGCCGATGCTTACACTCAAGGTAAAGGCCGAGACGGATATACAATCAGACAGTTACTTCTGCCATCCGAATTGAAATTCTTTGCTTGCTGCTTAAGATGGTGACTGAGCACTTATGGTAGTGTTCTGAGTGCTGCAATGTTGATTCCTAATTCAACATTTAACATCCTCACTGTCCCTTGTAAGCATAAACTAAGTTGGGCACATATGAAAAGCATTCCAAATGAAGTCCATAGCTTACATTATCACGTCAGCTTACTAGCTGGGAAACAGAACTATAACACACACACACACCCCCTTCCCCCCCCCCCCCCCCCCCACTTAAAAAAAATAGATAATCAACTAATAAATATTTAAGGTAATTTATATATGTATAGATGGACGAACAGCAGTATGAGTGAGTGTACATCAAGGGCAAGAGACAGGGCTTGATGGAGATCTATTGCAGCCAACCTTCATTGTGGAGACGGCACCTGATCGATTGATATATGTCCCCTTGAAATAATCAGAGCTGTTGTCTCTTCTTTAGGTGGACTGCCAAAGTAGTGGAGACTGATGCTAGCCTGGTGAAGATGTACTTCCAAGCCGACAAACGTGTGGAGTGGATCTACAGGGGCTCTACAAGACTGGAGCCTTTGTTTAAAGCTTTGGTAACCTCTGACTGTGTCTTTAGATTGTGTATTTGAATGTTGTTATTCAGCAGTTAGGAATCCAGACTTTTGGAAAAAGCAGTAAATTAATATTGAAGAAATGTTTTTTTTTTTTTTTATTGTTAGGGAGCATTATCTGATTTGGATTATTACCTTATTTTATTCAGGCTCTTCTGCATGTAGGTTCTAGGTCCCTAATTTGGGAAGAAAAACGAACAGACCCGCTGTTTTCCTAACCAGCATGTCATAAGAGTCAACTAATTAGGGGTTTCCTTTGAAATTGGAGTGCATCTGTCTGAGATGCAAGGAACCAACAATCTGCATACAGCTAAGCCAGATCTGCAAAATGGATGTGCAGGCAAAACTCAAGCTCTAGAACAGGGCTTTTCAACTGGCGGCGCGCAAGTGGCATGCGGATCATTGCCACTTATATTGTATTGATGATTTTTTTATGCCGGAACTTGGGCCTGTGGCACGTGACGACCCCTATTTTCAAAATGTTGACCCCTGAGTAAACCTAGTTGAATAGCCCTGCTCTAGACCAAGACAAAAATCCTGAAGTGGACAAACAACCAGAATTTATAGCCGATGAACACCAACAAGAAGCAGAGTCTGGCTCTGCAACAAGATTCTTGGCACACACAAAAATGCTAATTATCACAGAATGGAAAGAGTTAAGGGGATAGAACTTAGATCAAATTAACAAATTTGTAGAGACATTTAGAAATGTTACCTACTTGTACTTTTTACAGGGTTTAGCAAAAACAGCCCCAACATTTTAAGGCTTTTTGTGGTTTCACCAGTGGTTTAATGTTCAGTTTTTGGCCTTTCCCCCTGAATGGTTGGCTCTTGATACTGCTGTTGAATCAAATACAAGGTTATCTGCTGCCAAATTGCCCGCATATGGAATCGAACCCATCACCAGGCTCTATAGAATTACGAAACGCTGACCATTTGGGAAAAAATAACTTAAGAGTACAAACACAATTTATTTTCAAAGGGTTACAAATTGGGCATGCAAGCTTGTCTTACATTCGGCCCCTTCAGAATAAACTGGGCTGCCTTTGGCTTGGTCACAGTCTGAGGCAATGAGGTCTTCTACAGAAGATTCCAGAGAATAGAAATTAGGCTGATGTATGATGTTTAAGTAACAACTACATCACATAAGTATACAAGGTATTTATGAACATATTTCTTTTCTAAGACTGCAATAATTCTGGTTTATCACAGGCTAATGCGGATGCAATCAAGGCCGCAGGAAGTGCCAGAGGTAGGAGACACAACCTTACAATGAGACCATCAGATGCTCTGAGACCTTCGGTAGAGTACACAAGAAGTGCTGGGGAGGATGATAGCAGCTCATCTAATTCTGCCAAATGTAAGCTAAAATGCATGTTTAAAGGCAGACAGACAGACCGACACATACACAGGCAGATATACGGACATCATACACACTCAAACATACACATAGGCATACATACACACTCAGAAAAACCTAGTTACCTGCACATAAACAAATGTACACAGAGAGTGAGAGAGAGAGAGAGAGAGAATTGAGACTCACGTTCACCCACATAAATAAATAAATTAAAAAGTTAGTGCTTCTCTTCATAGCTGTTTGTTTGTCTCAGGTATTTGCAGTGGTTTAAATAGGAATATTTTCAAATATCATGACTTCATATCTAGAGATGATAATGGTACATAAGACACCAAAGACAATATTTTCCCTTCACAACGTCCTATTTCCTTTTGTCTTGATAAATTATACTTCTTGATTTCCTCTCACATTCTTCTAAGAGAAGCTTTACTTTTAATAAGTTATTTCTTTTTGAATGGACACTGAGCTAACTGATGCTTCATTGTTTCCAGTAAGCCTCTGAAAACTGTCGTGATGGTGTTGGTCCAGCAGTATTGTCCACATCTGTGGCTTAGGCTTTGCCACCGTGCTTTGTAACGTCATGGTGTCTGGTCGAATCTGGCTGCAGACAATTTGGCAGCATATCGTTTTTCATTGATTTCGGTGATATCGAGAGTCGACCGTTCAGAAAAGAATGTCTAATGTATGTAAATTTGCCTAGAAGAACCATAACAGCCAAACAAAAGGCTGCGATTGGTTCTGCAGTTTTCTGAAAAGGATACGTAACTAACTTTTAACTACTAGTATTCTTTCCACGCTTTCTTCCTCTGCTTTTTCTTTTTCTTAACATTCACTGGCTGTAAACTCCAGTAGAAAGTTTTGGTGTCTTGCCCACTTCTAGACTTAGGGGAATCTAGTTAGTCATGTATCTTAGTAGACTTGTTTCCATAGCCAGGTGTACATGCCATTTGGCGATGTCAGGTTTGATTCTCTGCATGGTAACTATAGTTTTCGATTTTTATGTTGTCTTGTGTGCTCTTCTGTCTTTCTTTTTTTTTCTGTGAGTGCCAGTCAATGCATTGTTTAATGTTTCTACAGCCTCAAGGAGCTCCCCCTCCTCTGTTTATTTACCAATAGAAAGTATGTTGTTGCATGCAGAGTAACTATTAAAATGGGATTTAAGCTAGTGGCAGTCATACTGCTTATGTAATATAGTTTAACTTATAATGTGGTAACTATATATGGATTTACATAATAATAATAGTTTTAAAAATTGAAGAATAAAAAAATAATTCTTTTTTTGGATTGTTTTATTTTTAATTTAAGCAAAATATGTTGCAAAACCAAGTGAGGCTAACAAGAAAAAGTCCAATGTGGCAAAGAAAAGTACTGGCGGGGCTAACAACAGTGAGCTTTCTAAGTCTGGTCAGTGGGAAGCCCCATGGATTCGTTACCAAAGAAAGGCTACCTCGGGTGTTCAGAAGTCGCGAAATGCAGATTCAGCATCTCAAGAACCTGATAAAGCATCATCAAAAGGTGAGAACATGTTTTGCTGACATTCATTTCGTCTGCCTCTGGCACTTTAGATTTTAAATTATTAATTAAAGAAAAAGCCTTTTGTGTGATTCCAGTATAAACTGCAATCTGGCAGATAGATACGGTTATTGTCACCTGGCAAGTAGTGGAGATGTTATTGTAAACTTTTGTCAGGCAGTTGATTATGAAAGCTCTCTCAGAATTGGCATCATATGTGTACAAGACAAGTTCTGACCTGTTTGGTCATAAGAAATTGAACATGTTTCAAGAAACATTAGCTTTGTTGATCATCATCATAGCCCTTTAACACTGCATGCCATTGTTTGGTTGCCTGTTGCTGTTAACTGACTGATCCGTTTCCTCCATCTATGTTGATCAGATGCACTGGACTTGATGTTTACATCCGTGTGGGGATTTCAGGAAAAACAAGAACAGACCCACTGCCTCACCAACAGGCATGTCATAAGAGTCAAATAATAGGGAGCTTCATTCAGAGTCGAGAGTTCATCTTCATGAGAGGCAAAGAGCCAAGTCTGCATACAAATAAAAGATCTGTAAAGCGAATGTGCACCCAACATTCAAGTTCTGGAACATGAATTAAGTCCAGTAGTAGTCGAGAAACCAGAACTTTCTGCCAGAGTTTACAGCCAGTCACTGTGAAGAAGTAGAAGAGACAAGATGTTTCCATATTTTAGAGCCATTCATCAACCAGGTTGTGGTTCCAGGTGTTGTGTTGATTTTGCCAGAATCTTTCCCTTTTTTCCCTACAGCAAGCCCTGTGGTAGTGGTTTAGAGAGGTCTGTAGATCTTGTTGGTGTCGGCTTGGGTGTTGTGCACATGTTACATAATTCTGAAATGCCCATGTGTCATTTGTGTTAGTTACATAGTGTATTTTGTAATTTTTAATTAGATAAGAGCCAGCCTGGCCAGACGACAGACAGCAGCCGACCAACCAAAGATATTGCCAGTATTTTGCAGGAGAGGTTAGCTACTGCAGAGGTAGAATATGGTAAGGGCTTACGTTGCTGTGTGTATGTTTTTATTTTTAAATATCCGACATTATGCTGATATTCGCTCTTCTATAAAAATGAGAACAATCAATGTCATTTTGGGGCTTGTTACCCCTGCAAGGCAGACGCAGTTCTGAGCCTTCCCTCTCGAAGGAGCCGAAACAAAGTTAGACGTGTTTCCTCTTCCTCGACTTTTGGAGCCAGGAGAAGAGTGCAGAGAGAAAATAAACTGGCCAAAACCAAGGAAAAGACATAGAGACGACCCAGGTTTGACCAGTTGGCATTCCAATGAAAACTAAGCTGTATGGATCAGTGGAAGACATGCACAGACTTGATAGAGACCTGCGGCTTTCTCATCTGAACACCACTGGCAGGGAGATAGACAAGAAGAGGACTATAGAAAAAAAACTTACAAATTATAAGAATTTCACCTTTGCCTAAGAAGGCTAGATGATTTCTTATCCACGACATCATAATCAAGTGGTAATAAACCATTTTCGGGTGCATTATGTTTGTAAATAGAGAGAGAGAGAGAGAGGTAGAAGAGAGAGAGAGAGATTGATTGATTGATTGATTGATTGATTGATTGATTGATTTAAGTAAATCCTATAAAACTTATTTACTTTTTCTATAGTGATTAGATCTGGTACTTAGTTCTGTATGTTGACTGTCCCCAGCAGAGTTCTTTAAAAATTTATCATGATGCTGGGAAACAGGAAATGAAATGTTAATAACTTAATTGAAAAAAAAATGTTTTCATTTTTTGTTTGGAAATAATTAGGAAATCTTATCACATGCTCTCTTATATTTTTAGTTGCTTGTGCTTATTTTATTTTATTAGTCTCATTGTGTCTCATTACACAACCTTTGTTCTTACCAGATGAGGAAAGTGCAACAGGGGAAAGAAAGGAGGTGAGACTGGAGGCACCAGGCATACCCAGAAGAGTATTTAGTAAGTGCTGAAACGGTTATCATTATTTTTGTTGTGGGAACCACTGCGGTGTAGCCGCCAGATGCTCGCCTGTGGGTCTGTAAGTTATGGGCACAGATCTTGGCGGTGCCAGGATTTTTTTAAAATGACTTTTGCTTTACCAGCCTCAAATGGTAAAGTCCTGGGAAGTAAATGTGGACTGGAAAAGGGGGGGGGGGGGGAGGGGTTGAGCAAGAATAGATCAACTTCTTAACAAAAACATTAAAAAATAGCCTTAATAACAATTTGCAGAAATCATATTGATGGGCTTGAAGGCGCAGATATCACACTCTAGCTGTAAGCCACAATGTGCCAACCACCTTTTTAAGGGCATATATAGAAGGGAAAACAAGATATAATGTTTGAACATTGGTGATGACCAGCTTGGTACATGACCGTCCTAGAATTTAGGGGGAAATGGGGGGGGGGGGGGGGGGGGGGGGGGGGGGGGGGCGCAAGTGAAAAGTTCAGTTGAAGGATTAAGGCGAGAAAGCAATGGATAGCTCAGTTGTACACTCTAAATAGGCCTCTATTGTGACAGTAAATGCTTTCTGGAATGGAAACCCTGACCTTAGTAACCAAGTGGCACACCTTGATGGAAAATAGAACACCTTTTCCTCAACTCGTGACCTGTGTGACTTACAACCGTCCGCACTTACGACTACCAACAAAATAAAAATAGTCCATAAAGAAAGGTAACTACATTGTCAGGGTCAGTGAGTTCTCAGAACTAATGCCTAGGACGCAGCAGCAGGGTCTGTACATCAGAGTCTTTTTGACCTTACCGCCCATGGCAGACTGTCTGGAACAGAGGGCCTGTGACTACCTGTGATTTATGTACAATTTTTGGTGCTGTTCACAGTAACCATGACATTGACCTTTCAATCAATGCTTCTTGGACTCTTCTGAGTCACAGGGGTGTGCGAGTCTATTCCGTCGGACATCTGTATGTGTCGAGCAAACTGCGACTTGACATATTGAAAGGTTGCCTGGCTGGCTGTGACAGTTCACCCCCGCCCTCCATACCTGCAACATCGCACATCGCCGGTGGTGTCCCCAAAATAATCTAGAATTAGCTCACACCCCTAAGCAGTAAAACGATTTATGAATGAAATGGCGCGCAGTGCGTAACCTAATTTAAAGGTCAAGGTCACAGTGAATAGCACCCAGTTCTTATAACCCGTTAGAATGAAAATAGTGTTGCAGAATATAGTCCACTTAAGACCAGTCCGACTTACATCCTGTTAGACAGACAAAACTCAGTTGTAAGTCAAGGAGTACCTTTATTAGTGTTCTTAACCAATGGTCACAACATTGTAAGCATCTTTCATCCCTGCAGTAAATTTGCAGGGACAGTTGAGTCGCTGGGCTCTCCAACTGAAAACCTGGGTTTGAATCTTCATTAAGACATGAGATTTTGTGTGTGTCAAGGGCAAAAATAAATCCTCAGGCTCAAAGACTTTCCTGCCTATGCTGCAAAAGTGGCAAATGCAGGCATTAGTGGAGGTTTTTTAAAATGACATGAAGTATATGGTGTTTAGTGCCATTGTTGCAAGAGATTCTGTAGTAAGTTATGACGTTAACAGTTGCCCATATTTGATAATTTCAGAACCTCACAGGTGCAGTCCTGTCTGTCTGTATGATACCAATGATGGCTCTGATAAGTTTAAAGGACGCAGTTCTCTCACCATACCACTTCTGTGTGGCTGGGAGAGGTAAGTGCTTCTTATCAAAACTGGTACTAGATCTCCTCCCGAAATGCAAGGTTAGTGAACAGTTATACTAAATCCCAGTAGACCCAGATGGTTTGGAAGTATTCAGTACAACACAAATTGTGACCAAAAACCTCACTGGGGATTGACTGGAAAAGATACGCACAAATACAACCAGATGTTTCGACCAGAGTTTTTATCAACAGAGAGCTAAACGCACACACACACAATTTTATTGTAAAGCTCAGTGAAGCTTGTGAATTGTCATGGTGGTTTAGATGGTTTGGTCGTGCTGACTGGATGCAAAAAAGAGAGACAAACTAAACAACTAAACATATACTCCCCGTATGGGTTCTAAGGCCCTTTGTAGGGGAAAACAAGAATAGTCCTGACTGCCCCCCCCCCCCTTCCCCCTTGTAAGAGTCGATAAATTAGAGGTTTCTTTCGAAGTCAGAGTACATCTGCCTGAGATTTAAGGAACCAGCTGTGCACTTACAGATATGCTAGAACTGTAAAACGGATGCGCACGTTTTACAGGAGGTCTGGACAGAGTTTACAGCAGGTAAACCTGAACAAGAAAACTGGTGCTAGACATTCCTAGATATCTGCTTAATAAATATTTGTACTGAATTCTAACAGACTTTAGATGGTTTAGAATATATAAATACAGTAACAGTTGGGGTTAGAAAGCTTAACAAAGCGAGTGGAAAAGATAATACAACCAATCGTTTCGACCAAAGTCTTTATCAACAGAGTACTAAATACAACACAAATTGTGACTAGAAAATTCAACAGACAAGAAAACAGAGCTTGTAAATGGTTATGATAGTTTGGTCTTGTTTAAAGAATGGATGCAAAAATAAGACAAAGTAGACATATGCTGAGCAAATACAGGGTACAAAACCAAAATGGCATCTTATTCACAATGTTACTTTTGTCACCTCCTACAGAAAGATTCTTGATCCTTCTTCAGGTTTCATGTATTTCATACCCAAGATGTCTTTAATGTCCCATGTTCCTTGTCATTTCTGTCAGCTTTTGTCTTACCTTCCAAAACACTATACCTTCCGTATACCATACCATTTTTTTTGTAAACCACCATGTCACTTTGTTCTAAAATAGATTTGGTTATTATTACTAAACAAGCACAAACATTTACGTAACTACATGGATACCATTTGACGGCAGATGTATCACAGAGATAGAGAACAGAATAGGACAGGCTGCGACTGTGCTTCGTAATGCTGGTGTGCCCGGTTCGATCACAGCTGCGGAAGCTTTGTCTTCGTTGTTTTCGGCAGGGTGTACCGAGAGCTGACTGTTCAGTAGGGAGTGGCAAACTACTGAACGTAATGCATGCCTAGAAAAACCACAACAGCCAAAAAATGCTAGGGGTTTGGTTCTGCAATGTCCTGTAAAGGATACACAACTAACTAAAACTTCCTTTTATAAATTTAGGTACATGTTTTGTAATAAATCCATGGCACTTGAGGTTAGAAGAAGAATTCTCAAATGCTATGTAGAGCCGGTTTTAACATATGGCTGGAAATCCTGGACAACTAATTATCAAGCCAAACAATTTGTTTATGTTTACTTGTTAAATCTATTCCTCTTCTACTAAAAGTTTAACTTCATTACTCGAGGTTTTATTAACTGACCCGTGGAATTGAAGATTGATGTGATTGTCCACGCCATTTGGCAAGGCACTTGATGATGAGGATTATTACTAAACAGTCAGAAAGAAGACTATGTAGATTATGGTAGATGACTAGTCTTTGTCGTTTGTCTTTCAACAGGCAGGTGTGTAAAACCCGGCCCACAACAAAGCGTCACATTGTTTACCGGGCACCATGTGGTCGCAGGCTTCGTAACATAGAGGAAGTGGATCAGTACCTGCTGGTCACCAACTCTGACCTCACCATTGATCTCTTCTGCTTTGACCAGCAGCTCCACGTTAACATTGAGTTTGTTCCTGTCAAGGTAAGAACTTTAACCCAAACCCCCTAAATAAAAATTCCTGGGTATTAAAGGTGGCTGGCGTGATGTTGACTACATTACCCACCGAGTGCCGATTGGTCTATAAAATATAGGTCTAGCCCTATATGCCTGCTACTCCTGAGGGTGTAGAAAATGGGTCCATTAGATAATAGTGCTCAATAGATGTTGTAGTCAACATCCTGCCAACCATCCCGGTTGTCTTAGGACACCTCATGATAACCATTTAGGGTTGAGTTGATTTGGGAGCAAATGTCAGTTACACAAAATTCCCCTTGATGTGGATTGAAACCCAAGACTTTTGGTTCAGTAGGCAAACACCTTGACTACTGGGCTGCCATGGCTCCATTCTCATTTATGTACATGTAATTTTTTTCTGAAGCTGGTTCATTGGTGATTGTTTGAAGCAACTACTAGCTTTTCCCTTTCTTCTGTCGATATTCTGCTTTGTGCCGCAAGGCGTCACGGGTTAACAGATGGTCCTTATCCAAGCTAGGGCAAACTAAGTTGCCCGGTATGCTGGGACATTCAAGATATAAGTGACTCCTTCAATCCATCTTCTTTCTTTGGTTGTCCTCTAACGCTTGGTGTTTCTCCTTTCATGTTGCGCAATCTCATTGCTGGCATCGTTGAATTTATTCTCATTAAGTGGCCAGATAATTTCAGTCTTTGTTTTTCAATGTTTTAATTATAGGTTTTATTGCAGAAGTTACTGTAATTTCTTCATTTTCCACATAATCTTTTCTAGTTTTGTTCACTGCCTTTCTCAAACATCTTATTTCACAGGTGGTCAGTTTTTTGTGTGTGTTCTTTAGTCATTGTCTAAATCTGACGAAGTATGAAAAGAAGTATGAAGATTGCATTTAAAAGTTGTCTTTTTTACCTCTATTTGGATAGCCAGGTGTTTTAAAATTGGGGTCAGTTGATACTTGACATTGTTTGATAGTTTTGTCCTCATATTAAAAGTAAGACATTTTTTTCTGCGTTAATCTGAGGTCGTATATGCGTTATGCCTGTTTACACCATGGCTGTGATATTTACACCTTTCGGCCAACACATCCGACTTCTGTAGGCGTTTGTTGCAGCCAGGTTAGCCTTCCCGATTAATTTTTGTGACATTGCAGTGTTATTTGATTTTTTTAGTCATCTTGGTTTCCATTTAATTCTGTTACTTCGCACGTGCAACTTGTGACTGTTCCAGACATTTTGTGACATAAAGGACCTCTCCTATGGCAAAGAACACTACCCAATCTCCTGCGTTAATGGAATCGATCGCCACTACCCAGACTATGTGGAGTACTCAGATCATCGTATACCATCCAATGGAGTCCAGCTCAACCTTGATCCCGACTTCCTGGTTTGTTGTGACTGTACGGATAACTGCAGGGTAAGTAGCTGTTACTGGATTAGAGTATGTGATCCACGTCTGTAGCATCTTAACCTTTCCGGATGTCACAACTCTTTCCAGACCATCTCATCTCTTAAAAGGAAAATTGAAGATAAGATTTCCATGGTTTTAACCCTATTGGACTTTCAGTTCTTGGCAGCTTTTCAACTTACCTCATGACCATGGGACATTGTGCTGTAGGGGAACAAGGTAATCTCAGTCAGTGGGGATGGAAAGTGTGACTAACAAGAACACCTTTTGACTGGGGACTGCTCAGCTTGAAGCAGGGGGAATCAACCCCGGGAACATCTCTCTGATATTGAAAAGAGGACACTTAAATCAGTCCTTCTCCATTTTAAAAGCTCTGACCACAGAGGTAAAGATGATATATATGTCATCGCAATAAAATCTAGCTCTTATGATTATACCAGGCATCTTTCTTTGGAAAATCGCCTCAGTGTCTATGTGTTCTAAGCTCAGGAGGTGTCAATGTTCAGCATACCTTGTCTTAACAGTTTTACTACTTGTTAAGGACTTAAAAATCTCAGTCGTTGGCATTTTGATTTTGAATAAGTTCCACTTATGATATTCCACCATACCATCACTTCAGGCCACCAGGTATTATCTGTGTGTATCTGCCTCTTCTTCTGTTGATCTTTACAATATCACGCCGTTTTCCTGTGCCTCTTTTATCTCATCACATAATCAAAGAACACTGACTGCCTATTAACTTGCAGGCTCATGACAATTCTAAAAAATCCACCTTGATGTGGTGGATTCAATCAAGCCTTAGACCACTAGAATTCCTGCATTCATCTGTATTTTAATCTAGTCTTGGACATGATGATATTTTTTTTACCCCTACATTTTATCCATAAAACCTTAAAAAATCTACTCTTTTGTTTTTCTTTTTCTGTACAGTTCACATTTTTTGGGGTCCTGTAATAACTTCTTGTGGTATATACCAGAGCTATTCAAATAGGTTTATTCATGGGCCAAATTGTTGAAAAAGAATATTGTCATAGGCCAGAGGTCTGAGTTCCAGCAGAGAAAAATCATTAATACAGTACAGTTGGCAACCTTCGCTAGCCACTTGGTGGGCCTCTGCACGCCATCATTTGGACAACCAACCAGAACTCTCTGTGGGAGTTTACAGACCTATTCTTTGCTATCACATCCAGCTCAAATTATGTCTCACCAACTTTTCAAACCTCTCTCTCTAGTTTCCTTCTCTATAAGAGTTTTGGTCAGCCTTTATTTCTACGCCCTGAGGGTTCTACTGTAAAAACATTCTGGTTATACTGTTCTCAGGTTTTCTCAATGTGTGTTCTATCCAGCACTATTCCCTCTATTTTGCGAAAGGCGCCAGTTAATGAATGGGAGTCCCCGTCGCGGAGCGGCTAAATGCTCGTGTGCAGATCAGAAGGTCGTGAGTTTGCTTCCTGGCGGAGCCGGAGTTTAAAAAAAAAATGACCTTGACTCCCAGGTCGACCCAGCCTTGAGTGGGTACATGGTGCAGTCCTAGAAAGTAAAGATGGCTGGGGTGATGCTGACCACATTACCCATCTTGTGCTGATTGGTCTGTACAAAATATAGATCTAGCCCTATATGCCCTTTACGCCTAAAGCCGTGGAAAAGGGACCATATGGTGTTAGTAATCATGTCTGTCCACAACCTTCTGTCTCGTGTGCTAAATCAGTTTTGAGGATGTTCCTGCATGTCTTGCTGCCAGACTGTCCAGCATCATATCTCTTGATCTGCCTCTGGTTCCTTTCCCCTTCAACTTTCTCATTGTCATAATTTGTTTAGCTTCAGATGAAAAACCTTCAGATGAAAAACCTTAAACGTGTGATGGAAATTACAATAACCATGTCATTGTCTCCTAGCCTGTCGGTATTGTCGTTAAGGATGTCAAGAATATTGAGCACTGACATTACGGTGCAGACAAATACAGTGATGTCAAAATGGCAGTTCAAAGATGGCCGTCATACTTTTGACACGAGCAGTGTTCAGATATCTATGTTTTTTTATCAAGGACTGAAACCTAGAGAAATCTGTCAGCAGATAAAGGTCAGTGCATGGTGATGCATGCCTGTCAGTCCAACAAGTGTATGAGTGGAGGAGAACGAACGAACAAATGAACGAACGAACTTTATTTTCAAAGGGTTACAAATTAGGCACGCAGGCCTGTCTTACATTCGGCCCTTCCAAACTCTCATCTTTCACACAGCAGTTGTATTTCATCAATAAAGCATGTTATGTTCATGTAATAATATGCATACTATCAATATCAAGTCAAAAACAAAAGCATTGGTGGTAAAATATGTGCGCACACTCGTGCGCGAACACCCACATACACACGCAAACCCATTCACTCACACATACACACACATAGGCACCCAGTACACACACACATCCACATACATACGAACATGCACACACATACATACATACATACGTGCGTACGTACGTACATACATACATACACACACACACACACATACAAACATACATACATACATATACACACACACACACACACATACAAACATTCATACACACTGTCACCCACACAGACATGCGCTCTAAAACACACACACATACAACCCAGACACATATAGACACACACAGCTATACACACACACACACACACACACACACACAAAATTGAAGTTGTAAGAACAAAGAACAATATGCCAACCACCCTATCAAAAACACAGAAGAAGAAGAATTAGAGGAAGAATTAGAGGGAGAATTGTGTACACCGATGGTAGTTCAGACTCAAATTTTCACTCTCTAGGACAAAAGCAAATGTGCCTGCCAGCAGATGACCATACAGAACACATCCTGGATAGGAGAAATAGATCCAGAAGCTGGGTACCATTACAAGCGCCTTCCTGAACCTTTATTTACTGGGTAGGTGTTCACACTGTTCTTATCCACAAGTTTGATACTGTTCTCATCATAAGTTTGAAACTGTTCTCATCATAAGTTTGATACTGTTTTTATCCACAAGTTTGATACTGTTGTCATCATAAGTTTAATACTGCTCTCATCATAAATTTGATACTGCTCTCATCATAAATTTGATACTGTTCTCATCATAAGTTTGATACTGTTTTCATCATAAGTTTGATACTGTTCTCATAAGTTTAATACTGTTCTCATCATAAGTTTGATACTGCTCTCATCATAAGTTTGATACTGCTCTCATCATAAGTTGGATACTGCTCTCATCATAAGTTTGATACTGCTCTCATCATAAGTTTGATACTGTTTTTATCCACAAGTTTGATTCTGTTCTCATCATAAGTTTGATACTGTTCTCATAAGTTTGATACTGTTCTCATAATTTTGATACTGTTCTCATCATAAGTTTGATACTGTTCTCATCATAAGTTTGATACTGCTCTCATCATAAGTTTTTTACTATTCTCATCATAAGTTTGACACTGCTCTCATCCTAAGTTTGATATATCCATGCTTTAAACTGTTCACGGTGTATGAAATATACTAGTTGACACTTCCATCAGTCATCCTGTCTGCTTCATTGCCATTTTCATCTGTACGGTTTGCAGCAAAACCGGGTGCTTGGCGTACTGAAGCAGTTGCATGATGTGGGTTCTCTTTTTAGCAAATATATTTATACCCTCATCTTAACAGCCCATGGTTGACAATCAGCAAGCCAAAGTGCTCTCTTAAGAAGCATGGTTTTCACCACTGAAACTGGCACAAGATGATTACCATATTATGGACAGACCAGAGCAAGATTATCCTTCGCCTTAGAACAGGGCACAATCGACTTCGCTGCCACATGTACAACAAATTTAAGATTGGCCAATCAGCAGTGTGTACTTGTGGACTAGCACCTGAAACAACAGATCACGTCCTTCAAGACTGTCCCAGATTCAACACTTTCAGGCAAAACATTTGGCCACAAGAGACACTTGTGGAAGTCAAACTTAACGGGCCGCTTAGTGAATTACAAAAGACAGTGAAATTCATACTAGAGACAGCTTTGCAGATATAGATAATTTATTTCATGCGAACGAAAGAAGAAGATAATCTTTCAGAGTATTGTCAGGTGTTCTTGTTAACTTTCAGCGTTGTAGAATGTAACACGAGATGTGTCTGTTGTGCGACTAAAATTTTATAACAGATTGAATTTAATGTTTCAACATTGTGAAATGTAACCTTAGATGTGCTTAAGTGTTGAATGAATGTTGAATGAAGATTCAACATATAGCACCTGGGACACTCCCATAGGTGCTCATCCCCATCTTCAGCAGCAAGCGAAGAGTTCCAATTCCCATGGTGCCAGTAATTGTCTGATTGTGCATTCATCTCGCCTTTCCCTTGCGTGTTGAGCATCAGCCAGATCCCCTGGTAATATTCCGCAGCACCATTCTCCCCAGACCTGTCTGTGCCTCCGCATTGTTCACACGCTCCCAGAGGGCCCTCACATCATCTAGCTTGTCGTACATCATCAGTTCACCACCAGGTGGGGCAGAACCAACCAGTCTATCTGCCTGCTCGTTTCCCAACACACCAGCATGACCTGGAGAAAGTATCCAAATGACATTAACTACCCGGGACGTCTCAAGCGATGCTTGCCACTCTGCACGGAGCATGCCTGTCTCCACCTTTCTCACCATATCTGTGAGTCAAACACAATTAAACATATGTGTACAACTGATTCTCAAGCCAGCGGAAGGCAGAAGTGACCGCCTCCACCTCCATTCTCAAACCTGACGTTGTGATATCATATGCCAAGCTTTGTTGCACTAAGCTTTTTCTATGAACCCCCATGCACTTCATCTTCCTCTCAGTGTGCTTGTTAACTGTCAGTATTTTAGAATGTAATGGAAACTGTTAACTGTCAGTATTTTAGAATGTAATGGAAACTGTCTGCTGTGTGACATGATTTGTATGTCTTCTTCTTCCTCTTCTCCTCCTCCTTCTTCTTTTTCTTCTTCTTTGTCATCCTCCCCTGCCTCCACCGCGGCTTCTGCTTCTTCTTCTTTGTGTTCACCAGCTTTAACATTCTGGTTGTTCGTTCACCTCTGGGCTTAAGTCCTGCCCCAGAACCTGGGTGTTGTGTGCACATCCTTTTACAAATCTAGCTTATTTGTATGCAGACTGTTGGTTCCTGCACATTGACTTCAAAGGAAACCCCTAGTTAGTCAACTCTTGTGGCTTGCTTTTGGGGAGGCAGTGGATTTATTCTTGTTCCTCCCACAGGACAATGGGGCATCGCAACCCACAATGTTGAATATGTTGCCTGTAATTTTTCAGCATTGTGGAATGTAACGTGAGGTGTAAGTGTGACAAGCGGTGCCATAACCGGGTGGCCCAACATGGACTCCGCATGAGACTGCAGGTGTTCAAAACAGAGAAGAAGTAAGTCTTCATCAGTTAATTTCTCCATGTTCAAACTCGTTGATTCATCATAATGTCTTCACCTATTTTAAACTGCACATTTTAATCCCAGGAAGGAGGGGCAGGAAGATGGATACGGGATATAAGTGACTCCTTAAATATGAAAGTACACGAGGTGGGAGAGCTGTCGAGAGACAGAGTTTTCTTTCAGGCAGACATTCTGCAAAGGACCTGCTACATGAGGATGATGATATTTTAAGATGCCTCAAACTTAATATAAAATAAACATTGCAAAATCAGAAGTGTGTGTAGTAAAAGAGAACATTAAATAATTGTCTTAAAGATAAAAGATCAAAGTTTAACACCTGAACTAAATAAGTCAGGTCTGTAAAACGGATGTGTATGCAACACTCTAGTTCTGGAACAGGACCACAGTCCAGAAGTGGACAAACAACCAGAACTTTCTGCTAAAGTTCACAGCTGGTGAACACAAAGAGAAAGAAGAATGCATGTTTGATGAATCTTTGTCTCTCAGGATGTGTCCAGTAAATTGACGTCGTCTTTGTCTCATAAACTGTTGATGCTGGCAGTAGTCAAGGCATTCATTGAATTTATCCATAGTTCCTCATTATGTTGCAGGAATTAATAGAGAATAGGGCTCACATGAGAAAAAAGCGTTAATCAGCAGAACATGTTTTTCGGGGCAGCTACTGTGTTTGAAGCTCAGATAATACAGAACTGTTAAAGCGAACCACTAAAGACATGAAATCAAAGTTAACTGTATTTAAAAAACAAATCCTAAGGAGAAACCAGTAGAGCATCACCAGACGGGCACTAAAATGGGGAAAAAGAATTAAAGAGACGAGAAGGTCCAAAAGCAACCCTAAACAAAATTGTTGATGGGAGAGACCAAGAGGGCAGGACTGGATGTTGTAAAAACCTCACTGTTGGGCAGATCTAACTTACATGATTTTGCTGTTTGCGGGAAGACTAAATCGCCAGTCGCCATCTTGCATTCTTCTGCCATGTGTTATGGACTAAACTGTCAGCATGCAGGTTCCAATGATCTGGCTCTAACATTTTTCATATTTGTTCTATTTTCAGAGGCTGGGGTCTTCGGTGTTTGGATGATATTGCTAAAGGCAGCTTTATTTGTATCTATGCAGGCCAGCTTCTCACAGACAGAGGAGCAAATGAGGTATATTTTTTTAAATGCTTTAAGCAGCTTTAAGACAATGTGTTAGATGGATATTTTGGTCACACTTTAGCTTTTTTTGTGTGTATATATATATATATTTGTTTGTGTGTTTGACATATACAGTTGTTATTTACACCCTTCGCCCTGGTGACCTAAAAAAAAAAAAGGTCCGTAATTACTGAATTCCTAGAGAAAAAAATTCTTGAAAACATTATTTTTTAACACAAAATCATAACAATTCAGTCTCTTTACGAAAACAATATTAAATTCCATGTACAAAACAGGAAGTCTTAATTAAAGGTATGCAGCAGAGAATTAACCAGTTAATTTCTCTTTGAGTCTAAAAATTAATTATTACAGCGATTCAATTTTTGTTTACCCCACAACCTTGTTGCAGATTAATACTATGACCAGTGGGAAATTTCTGACATAATTTGTATTAGTAATGCCATTTTTTTCACCAGAAAACCCCTCTAAATGCTATTTTTAATTACAACTTTTCCTGATGATAATAAAAGTGATAATAGTCCTGTTAATTAGCTAGGAGTTTCGTGAACAGACCACTGTAGCCAAGTCGTTAAAGTGACTCTGGGGGAAGTGGGACCGTCCAGAAGTGTCGGCTTTGTGGCTTTTCGGGGCAGCAAGGTTAATGTTTCATTTATAAATGCGATATAATGTGTGAAGGAATAGTGTTGATGTTTTTGATATCACAGACACTCATTTAGCTGTCAGTCATATCAGTCAGTTCTCTTTATGCCTAGTGGCACATGGGGCTTTAGAAAGGACTTTCAATGCTTTCCTGTCCTGTGCAATCTTCAGTGCAGTTTTCCATGTCAGAGATGCGGCACCCAGTTCACTTTTCATTGTTTCCAAGTTGTTTTTGGGTGCCCTTCTTTCTCTTTCCCTATAGTGTCCATGTGAGAGCTGTTTTGGCGGGTATATCAGGATTCATTCTCTTAATAATTCTATGTAGACATGTGTGGTGGAAGGTGGATAGCTTGTGCGCATCCTTTTAGGTCAGTTTCCAGCTTTCTGCTCCATAAAGAACAACTGGTAAAATGATGCTCGTGTAGAGTCGGATTTTCGTTCCTCTGCAGTAACTGTCAGATTTCCAGATTTGCCTCATCCTTCCAAAAGCAGCTCTAGCTTTGTTCAGGTCAGTCATATGCATACTACTAAATTTTTAATGTTTGGCTCCAACATCAAAATTACTAATAAACTACAAACATATATTAACTGGTGCGTTCGCAAAATAGAGGGAATAGTGTTGGATAGGACACACACTGAGAAAATCTGAGAACAGTATAACTAGAATGTTTTTACTGTAGAACCCTCAGGGCGTAGAAATAAAGGCTGACCAAAACTGTCACAGAGAAGGGAACTAGAGAGAGGTTGAAAAGATGGTGACACATAATTTGAGCTGGATGCGGTAGCAAAGAATGGGTCTGTAAACTCCCGTAGAGAGTTCTGGTTGGTTGTCCACTTCTGGACTTTGGTCTTGTTCCAGAAGTTTAGTATTGCATGCACATCTGTTTTACAGCTGCTCACCTGTACAGTCCCTGGTGACAGCACTAGCCATGCAGCCCTAAATCCTCTGTCTCAGAGACCCCCCCACCCCCCGCCTACACCGCAAAAAGTGGTAAATAAAGGCAGTCGCTGGCAGTTTTGTGTGTGCATTTTTTGGCAATGTTATCCATTTCACAAGTCTGGCTTATTTGTGTGCAGACTGTGTATTGGGTATATAGTGCTAGATATAGTGGATGATGTCACCATCACGCCGGCTGCCTTTACTTTCCAGGACTTCACCTGCAACCCATTTTAGGCTGGCTTGACCTGGGAGCCAAGGTCATTGTAGAAGAAAAAATCCAACTCGATGCATTTAAACCACAGACTCTGGGGCTGGCAGAAGAGCAACAAGCGGCTCTATGCCACGGCGGCTTCTGTAATTTAGGTGTTAGGAGCTGAAAGTTGAAACATATCAACGCTGGAGTAAATGTATATAAAAGTATTCTTTCTGTAGTTGCATCATTCAGGAGATGAAACGTACAGATGCATGTTGCTTGTTTGTTATGAAATAGGATGGCAAGCAGTATGGGGATGAGTATTTGGCTGAGCTGGACTTCATTGAAGTGGTGGAGAGACAGAAGGAAGGCTATGAGAGTGATGTGGAGGGCATGGAATTCTCAGAGGATGAGTCAGATGTGAACTACAAAGTCTCCAAGGACTCAGCTGACGATGATAGGTGAGTTTATTAACTCTTTGTGTGCCACATGAGGGTTAAATTAGGTATAAATCAGCAAGTGATGAATTCCTTGGTTACCGTATTTTTCCATGAATGAGACGACCCTTTTGTTTTAATCAGAAATAAATATTTTACACGCCAGAGAGAATAGCTTTGATTAGGGGGGGGGGGGGGGGGTGTCGGGCTTGCTGAGGGAACCAGGTGGAAGGGACAGTGTCCGTAGTGGGAGCAGCTGAGGGAACCAGGTGGAAGGGACAGTGTCCGTAGTGGGGGCTGCTGAGGGAACCAGGTGGAAGGGACAGTGTCCGTAGTGGGGGCTGCTGAGGGAACCAGGTGGAAGGGACAGTGTCCGTAGTGGGGGCTGCTGAGGGAACCAGGTGGAAGGGACAGTGTCCGTAGTGGGGGCTGCTGTAGGGGAGTGCCAGACCAGGGTTTGTTGAGAGGCCAGTAATGAGTGTAGGCTGGAGGGAAAGATTATGCATAGCGGCCACTTTTTATTTGCATATGCAATTGCAACATTCCATATATAATTTTTATCGTAAAATATTTGGAGGGAAATATCCTCTTATACATAGAAAAATACGGTAAGTTGATAAGCAATATTGCGAGACATTGCAGTGGCTGCCCAGCAGTGTTGTCTTGTGTGAAACAATTGTACAGGAAATCAAGTGGTACATACTGCCATAGGAGTGTGCAGTGTGGGGTCATCGCATATACATGGTCACAGTATCATGAATTAAGGTGACCACTTTCTTTCCTCACCACCTCTGACATCGCAGCACTCATGACATTCCCATAAAGGCTCTGTACTGATCTTCAGCAGCTACTAAAGAGTTGCTGTTTTGATGGTGCAAGTAGCAGTTTCATTATGTATCTGTCTTGCCTTGCCTCTATGTGTAAAGTGTGGAACAGATCCCCTGGTCAGTCCTAGATGTATTTTCCAGAGAAATCTCTGGTAACCATTGTACAAGCGAGAACTATTTTCCTACTCCTCCACCCACTTCCTCCTCTCCCACCTCTTCTTGTCAGAGTTGTCACCCCCCCCCCCCCCCCCCCCCCACCCCCCCCCCCCCACCCCCCCCCCCCCCCCCCCCCCCCTTTGTTGTTTCTCTTTCACTTACTTCCTTCTCTTCCACTTCTTTTCAGATGCATCACTTCCCTGTATTTGTTCATTCTTCTGCTCCTTATCTTCCTTGTTGCTCTTCCTACACCTTTCACATCTTCCTCCACTTCTTCTTTTCAAAGTTGTAACCCCCTGTATTTCTTGTCTTCCCCCGCACCTTCATGTCTTGTTACACTTTTAACCCCTGTGTTTGTTGTGTCTCCATTTCTTCTTATTAAAGCTGTAATTCCCCCTGTATTTGTTGTGTCTCCATTTCTTCTTATTAAAGCTGTAATTCCCCTCTTTTCCCCCTGTATTTGTTGTGGCCAGTGACAGTGATTCCCACACCAACACCTACAGTGAAGGAGACACATCATGAGATGTGACTCCCATACACCAGTGTGTCATGTTTTGTGCCTGCAGCATATCCCATCTTGTTATCTTCGATGACCCAGTGACATGCTTTTGTAACCAGCAAATTTTAACGGCCTTGTTTTCATGCACACCTGACCTCCAGGACCCGAGTAATCCAAACATAGGCTTAAGACTTCCGCAAATGGTACACCCAGTCGTTTACTCTAAACTTTCTGAGACTTCCACAGATGGTACAACCAGTCATTTACTCTAAACTTTCTGAGACATCCACAAATGGTACAACCAGTCATTTACTCTAAACTTTCTGAGACATCCACAAATGGTACACCTAGTCATTTACTCTAAACTTTCTGAGACTTCCACAGATGGTACAACCAGTCATTTACTCTAAACTTTCTGAGGCTTCCACGAATGGTACAACCAGTCATTTACTCTAAACTTTCTGAGACTTCCACGAATGGTACAACCAGTCATTTACTCTAAACTTCCTGAGGCGCAGTAGTCCCATTTTTAAGTGAATTGTTTCAGTCTGCTTCTCTCTCCATTTTTAACTAGAAATTTTTACTGGGTACAGGTAAACAATAATACAACCTCATGAAGTAATTACAAACGCAGAGTATATTTGCACTATGTAGTTACGCCCTGGAAGCTTGATCTTTTTTTTATATTATTATTTACAGACATTAGTAATTTGCTTTTAGATTTTTTTGGTGTCTTCTTCTTCTTCTTAGCATTTACTGGCAGTAAACTCCAGTGAAAAGTTCTGGTCGTTCGTCCATCTGTGGAATTTGTCTTGTTCTAGAACTCAAGTTTTTGTGCGCATTATTTTTAGAGATCTGGCTTATTTGTATGCAGACTGTTGGTTCCTCACTTTTCCGGCAGATATACTCTGACTTAACAGGAAACCTTTCTCATAAGTAGCCTTGTATGACATGCTTGTTAGGCAGGCAGTTGGTCATTTCTCAAACAAATCCCCCCCCCCCCCCCCCCCACCAGTCCGTGGATCTTTTCTGCCCCTCCCCCCACCCCTTCCCAGAATGGAGCCCCAGAACCCACACAGGAATCCCTTTTTATAACTGTGTATTTTTGCTCATTCCTTCAGTGACTATACACAAAAAAGTAGTCCCCCAGAGGCAAGTAAGAGGTAAGAGGCTGTTGTGTTCAACAGTGTCACTGCATGTGAGGTGTCACTAATTTTTGTGTGTGTGGGTACGGGGGAGGGAGAGAGAGGGTTGTCATCAGTACATTTGTGTGCGAGGTGACATCAGTACCACTGTGTGTGAGGCTACATCAGTACCACAGTGTTTATGTGAGGTGTCATCACTATCACTGTGTGTATGTGAGGTGACATCAGTACCCCTGTGTGTGTGAGGTGACATCAGTACTAGTGTGTGTATGTGAGGTGTCATCACTAACACTGTATGTGAGGTGACATCAGTACCACTGTGTGTAAGGTGACATCAGTACCACTGTATGTATGTAAGATGTCATCAGTACCACTTTGTGTATGTAAGATGACATCACTACCACTCCGTATGTGTGAGGTGTCATGTGGAAGATGATATAACAGCTACAAAATTTCCCCTGTGTTCTCTCCATTATCCGTTTGAGACTACTTTTTTTTTTTTTTAATATATGTTTTCCTTCGTTTTATTATTCTAGATTATTGACATGTATTTGTGGTAGTAAAAGCTTTAGCTTACACAGAAACCACTTAAGTCACTTTTTTTTCTTTGTTGAAACAGGAAACTCCGAGGCAGCAGGAGAAAAGGCCAGACCACCACAGAAGATACTGATGACAATAAACAAGGAGTTAAAAGGTAGTGCTTATTTGTTGTTTCTGTGTTGAAAGTATTGAAATTAACTGTTGTCAGTTTCATGTGTTTGTCTGGTCTCAATGTCCTGTTGCACTTCCTCCCTCCAAAATGTATTATGTCTTGTCCCTACTTTATGTGTTTTAAAAAAAAACACCACATGGATTCTGGTTTGTGTGTCTTTATCCATGTTTGCGCTGTGAGAACTGTAGGCATGACAAATTATTTCCAAGTTATCATTTGAGTATGGCAGAGGGTGTATACTGTCACCACTTGTTTGTTATCTGTATGGATAAGATAGCTAAAGACTAACTGGGGACTTCCTTTGAAGCTGGAGTGTGTTAGCAACAACAAACTGCACAAAGTTAAACGAGTAAAACAGATGTACACACAAAACTCAGGCCTTGGCTCAAAGCCAAAGTCCAAATAGACGAATAACCAGGACTTTTGACAAAGTTTACGACCGGTGAACAAGGAAGAAGAAGGACAGCACAGTAAATAGGACACCAGTTAAACTGAACATCACCAACAAAGAAGAGACATTTAAAATGAACAAAAACAAATTTGAATTTGTTGAGTCCCCCTGCAGATTGTGAGGCCCTAAGCTGCAGCTTAGTTAGCTTATGTCTTAATCGAGTACTGGCTGCATTTGATTTGGTGGGGGGGTGGGGGGGGGGGGGGGGGGGGGTTTGTAAGAGATTTATTTATCCTACAGAGGGGACAAGGATACTTTAGCCATCTACTCAATGTTTCACCTGAAGAGAACGAAGAATTGCAGTCTTATATAGTCATCCTTGATGCCATCTCTGCCAAATTGATTTGAAAAATAAAATTGAAACAGAAATGAAATGCCTACAATGAATCCTAGTTGGGTAACTAGAGGATCCAGTATCAGAAAGGATATCAGGAAAGAAGTGGAGTCGGAACCAGTGCTAAACCATGTCAAAAGACAACTGATCAAGTGGTTTGGACATGTGTCAAGACTTCCACCAGACCGTGCACCACAGACAACCCTGTCACTAAGACATAATGGTAGCAGTGCTAGAGGTCGCCATGCAAGCGATGGATAGATAGAATATCTGAGGCTGTAAATAGCATCATCTGTGTAGCACATATGATAAAGGCTCTCACTCGATGCCTCTTCAGCTTAAAAAATCTGATGGTGAAAGGCAAAACGGGCTAAAGAAGAAGATCAATTCTGTATTGTGGGAATTTGTAGGAGAAAAAAAAAAAAAGAAATTGAAAATTAAAACCATGAAAAACTGGGGTTAAAACTGTTTGGTGAAACATAAAAATATGAAAAACCTAACAAATTATGACTTTCTAGAGCAAATTGACAGACATATAGTCTTGTGTGTGTGTGTTTTTTTTTTTTTCTTTTTCTTGTTGTTTGTGAACATTGTCCATAAATTAAATGTGCATGATGCTTGAGATTTTTCCTTTTTCTTGATTGTTCTACTTCGATCCAGGTTTGTCTGTCAGTGTCATCATTAAAATTTATTTATTTATTTAGAAATGTACAAAATAAATTATTTTGTTCATAACTTTCTTGCATTTGTCCCCAGTGCCCAACTCCTCAACAGACAATCAAATGTTGCCACGGACACAGCTCCCAGTGTTGTGTCGGAAGCCATCAGCATCTCAGATGAAGAGGATGAGGAAGAAGATGCAGGCGCAGCAACTGTCAAGACCATCAAACCTCCTCCGGAAGGTAAGACTACTTTACAGAGTGAGAAGTAAGAGTGTGAATATTCATTATATGTTTGTTTTTTATTCATCCTGCAGTACTAAGATTCTCACCCGTTCAGTTAAGTTGTATATGTGGTTATCAGTGTGAGAGGTCAGTGAAAACTGCCATTTTGTTTCCAGGGATGAGTTTATGGATCGCTGAATCGTGAAATTAGAAGCAGGTTATCCAGAAGCATCATGCATATCTTTGTACTGAATTTAAATAATCTGATTTGTCATTCAGTAAAATGAGTACCCCTTTTCATGTCGGTGATAAATGTATGCCACATTATAGGTTTGAATTTGATCCCTCTTTGTGGTGTAAATGTGTTCGGTCCCTTATGTTTGTTTCCTCTTTGCACGTCATCTTATCTATCCCTCTTTAAGATGTAAATGTGCAATCTGTTATGCTTGTTTCCTCTTTGCATGTCATCTACCCCTCTATGTGGTGTAAATTTGTTCAGTCCCTTATGTTTGTTTCCTCTTTGCATCTCATCTTAACATTCTATCCCTCTTTATGATGTAAATGTGCAGTCTGGTATGTTTGTTTCCTCTTCTCAGATAATCTTACCTGCCCCTCTTTATGATGTGTGTTCAGTCTCTTTTGTTGGTTTCCTCTTATCAGTGCCAAAGGAGAAATTGAAAGCTAGAGCCAGGAAGAGTACTGGAGGCTCCAGGTTTAATCTGTCAACCACTTTCAAGACAAGTCATGAGCCAGTTTCAGAGATGGGTAAAATAATTGTAGTCTTTAATTATAGTTATGTACTGTCCGCCTAAGTCGTCGGTCATTCTAGTTATTTGTTGTTTGTCCTGTGATCAAACCAGCCACTGTTCCTTAGAAAATCTGTTAATTGACAGTGTTGGTGTTCTCAGTCCTGGAGGGATATACAGCACAGTTTTACTTAATTTGTTTATCTGTGTAACTTGTTCATATCTCCCCCACCCCACACCCCCATACACCATTTTACTTATTTCATTTTAATAATATAGCCCCAGATCCTAATTTTTTCCCCCTGTTACACATTTCTTTGAGTTTATGTTGACCTTGGGGTTTTTAGAAGCACTATTGTCTTGTCCTGTATTTAGTACTCGCAGGCAGTTACTTCCTCTGTCGGTTACAGATATAAATATATATGTGTGTGTGGGTGGGTGCGAGTGCATGTATGCATGCCCGCCCGTGCGCGCATATATATATATATATATATATATATATATATATATATATATATATATATATATATATATATATATATATATATATATATATAATATATATATATATATATATATATATATATATATATATATATATATATATATATATATATATATATATATATATATATATATAATATATATATAAATGGACCTTCTCCCATGCTCTTGGGCATATTAGGTATTAAGTAATAATCTCATTTATTTATATTGTGCTGTAGGTGTCATTAATGATTTCATAATTATATTGTGTTGTGGCTGTCATTATTAATCTCATTAAATTAAATTGTGCTGTAGATGTCATTAATGATTTCATCATTTATATTGTGTTGTAGGTGTCATTAATAATCTCATTTTTTTTAAATTGTGCTGTAGATGTTATTAATAATCTCATTTATTTATATTGTGCTGTAGATGTCATTAATAATCTCATTTATTTATATTGTGCTGTAGATGTCATTAATAATCTCATTTATTTATATTGTGTTGTAGGTGTCATTAATAATCTCATTTTTTTTTATATTGTGCTGTAGGTGTCATTAATAATCTCATTTATTTATATTGTGCTGTAGATGTCATTAATGAGAAAAAAGAAAGGGCTCCTACCAGATCATTCTTCAATGATGACACAGAGTGTTACATAATGGATGCCAAGTCCATGGGCAACCTAGGCAGATATCTCAATGTAAGTTCTGCTTCATCGTAACAGTTGTTTGTGTATGCTAGATTTTTATTTGCATGTTATGTTGGTCCATGTTATTAGATTGACAGAAATGAAAAGTTCAGTGGTTAACTATTGATGGGAAGATGGATGTATGCATTTATAGATGATGGGTGTATGTATTATTATTATTAAGTCATCTTTATTACTTTTTGAAATATCTTGACAAATTTGAATACAACTTTGGCTACTTTCCACTTAAAATATTATATTTTCAATCAATATCTATGGAAATATGTTGATGTTAGCCCTCAAAATTAATTTTCTTGTAATCTTTAAATAGAAAATATCTACAGAATTCATTGTTTTCAGTAGATATAATCAAATTATATTGGGGTTATTTAACTTGTCCTTAACCAACATTTTCTTTCCAGTGCCAAATTAACAGAACAAAGCAAAATCAAAACACCAGAAAAGAAATTGTGCGTAACCTAGGGGCAACACCACACACAGATAAACCAGTGTGTAACAACTGATTAGACAAAGTTCTATGGCTAAAGGGTTGTGAGAGCAGTTTCATAATTCCAGAATCTTGGGTTTGATTGAGAAAACTACTTTGCATGGATTTCAGCTGTCTTATTCTTTGCATTCACTGGCTGTAAACTCCTGGCAGAAAGTTCAGGCTGTTCATCCACTTCTGGAGCTTGGTCCTCCTCTAGAAAAACTTGAGTTTTGCCTGCACATCCGTTTAACAGATCTGGCTTATTTGTATGCATACTTTTTTTTTTAAGTTTTTTTTTTTTTTGCCTCTTGTGCGGATGCACTCCGACTTTAAAAGAAAGTACCCTGTTTAGCTGACTTTTATGACACTATTGTTAGGGAAATACTGGGTCTGCTATCCCCCCTCCCTCACCCGTCCCCACAATGGGGCCCCGGAACCCTCGCCATGAGTTTTCAACAGTGTTACAAGCATTGACCATTGGAAAGCATTTGCATAGTATTGAACATAAACTTTACTCGTTAAACTACTAATGGCCAACAAATGCTGCTGTAGGTTTGTGTCATCTGTCAACAATATGCAACTATCTGTTGTATTGTTAATTTGTATTGGCAATTTGTGTCAACAGCACAGCTGCACCCCCAATGTGTTTGTGCAGAACATCTTTGTGGACACCCATGATCTCAGGTTTCCTTGGGTAGCCTTTTTTGCTGGACAGTAAGTCTGTTGTTTTCATGTTTAACCATGCCTCATATAGGGTGTTGTCCATGTACATGTTTTACCATGTCTTATATACAGTGTTGTCAATGTACATGTTTTACCATGTCTCACATATAAGTGTTGTCAGTGTACATGTTTTACCATGTCTCACATATAAGTGTTGTCAGTGTACATGTTTTACCATGTCTCACATATAAGTGTTGTCAGTGTACATGTTTTACCATGTCTCACATATAAGTGTTGTCAGTGTACATGTTTAACCATGTCTCATATATAGTGTTGTCAGTGTACATGTTTTACCATGTCTCACATATAGTGTTGTCAGTGTACATGTTTAACCATGTCTCACATATAGTGTTGTCAGTGTACATGTTTTACCATGTCTCACATATAAGTGTTGTCAGTGTACATGTTTAACCATGTCTCATATATAGTGTTGTCAGTGTACATGTTTTACCATGTCTCACATATAGTGTTGTCAGTGTACATGTTTAACCATGTCTCACATATAGTGTTGTCAGTGTACATGTTTAACCATGTCTCACATATAGTGTTGTCAATGTACATGTTTAACCATGTCTCACATATAGTGTTGTCAGTGTACATGTTTAACCATGTCTCACATATAGTGTTGTCAGTGTACATGTTTAACCATGTCTCACATATAGTGTTGTCAATGTACATGTTTAACCATGTCTCACATATAGTGTTGTCAGTGTACATGTTTAACCATGTCTCACATATAAGTGTTGTCAGTGTACATGTTTAACCATGTCTCACATATAGTGTTGTCAGTGTACATGTTTAACCATGTCTCACATAAAGTGTTGTCAGTGTACATGTTTAACCATGTCTCACATACAGTGTTGTCAGTGTACATGTTTAACCATGTCTCACATATAGTGTTGTCAGTGTACATGTTTAACCATGTCTCACATATAGTGTTGTCAGTGTACATGTTTAACCATGTCTCACATATAGTGTTGTCAGTGTACATGTTTAACCATGTCTCACATATAGTGTTGTCAGTGTACATGTTTTACCATGTCTCATATAAAGTGTTGTCAGTGTACATGTTTTACCATGTCTCACATAAAGTGTTGTCAGTGTACATGTTTAACCATGTCTCACATACAGTGTTGTCAGTGTACATGTTTAACCATGTCTCACATATAGTGTTGTCAGTGTACATGTTTAACCATGTCTCACATATAGTGTTGTCAGTGTACATGTTTAACCATGTCTCACATATAGTGTTGTCAGTGTACATGTTTAACCATGTCTCACATATAGTGTTGTCAGTGTACATGTTTAACCATGTCTCACATATAGTGTTGTCAGTGTACATGTTTAACCATGTCTCACATATAGTGTTGTCAGTGTACATGTTTTACCATGTCTCACATATAGTGTTGTCAGTGTACATGTTTAACCATGTCTCATATAAAGTGTTGTCAGTGTACATGTTTAACCATGTCTCACATAAAGTGTTGTCAGTGTACATGTTTTACCATGTCTCACATATAGTGATGTCAGTGTACATGTTTAACCATGTCTCATATATAGTGTTGTCAGTGTACATGTTTAACCATGTCTCACATAAAGTGTTGTCAGTGTACATGTTTAACCATGTCTCACATATAGTGTTGTCAGTGTACATGTTTTACCATGTCTCACATAAAGTGTTGTCAGTGTACATGTTTTACCATGTCTCATATATAGTGTTGTCAGTGTACATGTTTAACCATGTCTCACATATAGTGTTGTCAGTGTACATGTTTAACCATGTCTCACATATAGTGTTGTCAGTGTACATGTTTTACCATGTCTCACATATAGTGTTGTCAGTGTACATGTTTAACCATGTCTCACATATAGTGTTGTCAGTGTACATGTTTAACCATGTCTCACATATAGTGTTGTCAGTGTACATGTTTTAACCATGTCTCACATATAGTGTTGTCAGTGTACATGTTTTACCATGTCTCACATATAGTGTTGTCAGTGTACATGTTTAACCATGTCTCACATATAGTGTTGTCAGTGTACATGTTTAACCATGTCTCACATATAGTGTTGTCAGTGTACATGTTTAACCATGTCTCACATATAGTGTTGTCAGTGTACATGTTTTACCATGTCTCATATATAGTGTTGTCAGTGTACATGTTTAACCATGTCTCACATATAGTGTTGTCAGTGTACATGTTTTACCATGTCTCACATATAGTGTTGTCAGTGTACATGTTTAACCATGTCTCACATATAGTGTTGTCAGTGTACATGTTTAACCATGTCTCACATAAAGTGTTGTCAGTGTACATGTTTAACCATGTATCACATATAGTGTTGTCAGTGTACATGTTTAACCATGTCTCACATATAGTGTTGTCAGTGTACATGTTTTACCATGTCTCATATATAGTGTTGTCAGTGTACATGTTTAACCATGTCTCACATATAGTGTTGTCAGTGTACATGTTTTACCATGTCTCACATATAGTGTTGTCAGTGTACATGTTTAACCATGTCTCACATATAGTGTTGTCAGTGTACATGTTTAACCATGTCTCACATACAGTGTTGTCAATGTACATGATTTACCATGTCTTATATACAATATGGTGTTTAGTTGAAAAATCTAGGCCGAGGTTTGTAACGTAGGGTAGTCTAGTTTGTCTTGAGAAACATCACTGCAAGGATATCTCCATAAGAAGTCTTGTCATCAGCAGAGTACACGGAGAAACTAAGAGGTTTAATCAGAATGTGTGTTTATCAAAAACTACATATACAGTACGTTTTTCATGAGGGGGGGGGGGGGGGGGAGGGGGGGGGGGCTGTATTGCAGGGGATTTTTACATATTTAAGTGCTACCTAGGCAGCTGCCTATAATCCTCTTTTTTTTAGTGTCGATAAATCTTTTAATTTTAACACATCAAGGCACGCACAGACGCTTCAAATTATTTTATACAATTTTTTTAATGGTTTGCATTCGTATCTGCTCCCAGAATTGAGGAGAAATATTCCAGCTACAAGTGACCTTTTTGGTAAAAGTCCACATAAATTCACTTGAGTTAGATGTAGACACAGTTTATCCTCAGACTAATTTCAGTAACAACCGCTTAGGAAAGATTGTTGTTTTAGTTTTATTGTCACTAGATTTAGTTTGTTACAAGAAGTGGATATTTTGTTTTTGTTTGCATGCTGAAAAAAGACTCAAGTCCAGAGATGGATGAACAGCCAGAATTTTATTAGAGTTACAGCCGGTGAATGCGAAGAAGACTGCAATTTCATTTTACTCAGGAAGTAGTAGCACTTGAATATTTTGGCACCTTTCTTGTTTCACCTATTTTCACAGTAAAAATGTTAGCTGGTGCATTGTAGTAAGATGACTTGTACATTTTCTTTGTTATTTTCTCTGTGTTTATCATGTTTCTTGTGAAACAAAAATATTTACTACTAATACTAATCATTATTATTTTTTTTCAACACACTTTTTCCTGTGATAAGATAGGATGTCACATCTGTGTACATAAAACAGTCTATGTACAATTTGCATCTTTCTCTTCAGGTATATTCGAGCGGGTACCGAGCTGACCTGGGATTATAATTATGAGGTGGGAAGTGTTCCAGATAAAGTGCTCTACTGTTACTGTGGATCCTCGATGTGCAGAGGTCGACTCTTGTGATGCTCTGTGGTCAGAACTCAAAAGCTGTATTGCATTTTATGTATATATGTTGTATTGTTTTGATGACATTTTGATGTTAATTTTATTAAAAGAAATAAATTCTGTATTTTTGTCTTTGAAATATGTTTGTTTCACATGTCATACTTCATTGTAAATTTGCAGCAGTCTTACAGATCTGAGATTTTATGTAGGATATTGTAGGAGAGATGTTCAGTCTGTCTGTCTGTCCATCCATCCTTCCATCCACCCAAAAACCCAACCAGCCATATCTACCTGTCTGTCTATTCCTGTATAGAGAGGGTTAGAATATGTATGGTAGACAGATTAAAGCAAAGAGAGATTTTTGTTCTTCGATGGTGGGAAACTTGTATGATATATATCTTTTGACATGTAAAATCCACATTAAAATGTATCCTCTGTGAAGAAATCACTTTTTGTGGGGCTATTTTCCAGGTGTTCATAGACTACAGCCACAGTCACATTTTAAGATACAAGAAAAATTAGCCACACTCACATTTTAAGGTCCAAGAAGAATTAGCCACACTCACATTTTAAAGTCGGGGTAAAATACTCTGATCAGTGATGTTTGATGTTATATTTGTTGGAGGAGTGGTTGAGTATGTTTGATGTTATATTTGTTGGAGGAGTGGTTGAGTATGTTTGATGTTATATTTGTTGGAGGAGTGGTTGAGTATGTTTGATGTTATATTTGTTGGAGGAGTGGTTGAGTATGTTTGATGTTATATTTGTTGGAGGAGTGGTTGAGTATGTTTGATGTTATATTTGTTGGAGGAGTGGTTGAGTATGTTTGATGTTATATTTGTTGGAGGAGTGGTTGAGTTGTAGAGTTTGTTGTTTTAACATTTCCTTAGATTTCATCTGAAAGTGTGAACATAGAGAAGTTGTTTGACCAGTAACTGAGAAGTTGTTTGACCAGTAATTGTGTTTGTAAATCTGTTTGCTTCACAAGCATAGCAATTAGTTTTTTTCTTTTTCTTCTGCCTTTCTAGCTCCCCAATGGAGCACAGGCCCTCAGCCAACTCACACCAAGTCATTTCATCCTTCGCCATCAAATGCAGCTTTCCTCTTGTCCCCATGTTTAGACTGCAGTAGTTATATAGCTTAGAGGTTAATGAATGCGTTTAACAATGTCAGGGCCCTCAAATCCTGAGACACAAATCCATCATTATGATCTGGAGAGAATGGTACAGCTGGGAGTGACCCAAAAATCTGGTCGACACTTTACGCTCAGAGGAAAAGCAAGATGGACAAATAAATCAAACTGCTACTAGCACAGTCAGAATCGCAACTCTTTTGCTAGCTGGTGAATATGAGGATGGAGCACTTATGGGAGTGTCCTGAGTGCTGCTCAACACTCAAGTGATAGGATCTAGTGTCCACGGTGGGTGGTTTATTAAATTATTTTTTTTTAAAGCTGAAAGATATTGGGGCCTCACCACATAATACTCGCAATGACAGCACTATAGCTAACCTTCATTGTGCAGGGGGCTGCGTGGTCTCGAGGCATGGTGTCCGCCTCGAGTGCTAGAGGTTCCGGGTTCAATCCTTGGTAAGGGCTGAGATTTTTTTTCACGTGGAATTGGACTTCTAGTAATTCCCCCTGGTCTCTGGGTAGTGAGATCAGAAGACCATATATATTGTTGTGCACGTAAAAAATCCATTGGCAGTTGGAAATTGAAAATAGTAGCCCAATTGCACTGCCCAGGCAAAATTTACCCAAAGTATTTCAAGATACTCGCTGGTGCCACAGAGCCTGTGCACTGTGCTGAGCTTCTTCAGACTCAGTCTTGAGTTAGAAAAAGAACGGAGCACTTTAAAAAACCATGTATACACCCGAGTGCCATGATGTTGATCCGTTGTTCAATGTCTTGTGTTAAATGAGACATTCTTCCAGACTGAAATCTTATTTAAAGCATAGATATATTTCTGAAAGTGATACTATGTTTCTTAAATGTTGTATATAGCATTTGATAGAATAACATTGAGGCTATAATTGTGAGAAAATGAACACATTCACATTATGCCCTTAATGTGGTGGAAGCTGCAGTTGTGTAGTGGCTAGAAGCTTGCTTGTAGATCCGAAGGTCGTGGGGTCAGGTCCTGAGAGAGCCAGACTCTTTTTTTTTTAAATGACCTTGGCTCCCAGGTCAACCTAGCCTTAAACAGGTACCAGGTACAGTCCTGCGAAGTAAAGGCGGCCGGTATGATGTTGACCACATCACCCACAGAGTGTCCGTCGGTCTGTAAAATATAGGTCTAGTCCTGTATGCCCAATATGCCTGTAGGCGGGGAACGGTGTCCTTTACTTTAATCTGGTATCTGTTTTCTATCACCTGTCCCTTAAGGGAGCATAGGTACTCAGCTAGCGGATCTTTTGTTGTCTTGAATGCCTCACCCGTATCCTCCACATTTCACTTTGATTCCCTTCTGGATTTTGTGTGTGGATGGGGGGTCCTTGGTTTATTCCTTTGACATTATGGGTTTAACTGCAGAGACATTCTAGTTATTTTGTTATGATGCTTTCTCGGTGCATCCTATCCACTGTCAGCATCTTTTCTTCACCTCTTGATTCAGTCAATTGTTTTGTTTTCTATCAAAACTCTACATTATTTTGGTAAACTCCCGATTAATTATTAGTAACGTACATGATCTTTTTTCCATCAGACATGTAATGCTAGACTCGGGTTTATAGTCTATCAGCACTTAAAGGTTGAAATTGCCAACATCACATAGACTGCCTTTATTTCCCATGAAATTTCCTGATAGCATTTTTAAGCTGGGTCAACCAGGGAGCCGAGGTTGATTGTTTTCTCCAGGTCTACCCACTGTACATTTGACCTCATTTGGAGTTGCATTGTTTTTATTTTGTGTGCTTGTGTTTTTACCTTTTGAAAGCAGCTATGACCTTTTGTTTTGTTCCCTGTGTGGTCTGAAGCACCCATTTTGTATGTGGGGGGGGGGGGGGGGGGTGAGAAGAATAAACCCACTCCGTAAACAATAGTTCCTGTCATAAAAGGTGACTTCTTCTTCTTCGATCCTTCTGTCAGAAAACTTATATCAGGAGACCAGTAGCCTTTATGAAAGCTATTGTGCAGTCCACATCCTCTTGTGTACCATACAGTTTTGTCTTCATTGTGGTTGAAACAGGCCAGATTGCGTCTCTGTTGTCAATATACAGTTGACAGTGTTGGAGCACATACATGCTCAGCATTTTCGGGTGCCATGCTGCAGGGACACATCTCCGTGTTTCCTACACCGACAAATTTTAACATATGTTGACGAAGTCTGTTGTGTCCAGTCCTTTGTCTGAATATAATACACTGTCCCTCTCTAGAGAGGCAATGAAACGAGTCTTGGGGAGAGAATCTGGTGTGTGAAACCACAGTGAAATTTATACACGAGACAAAATTGCTGATATAGACAACTTATTTCAGGCGAACAAAAGAAGAAGAAGAAGAATCTGGTGTGTGTATCCAGCTATCTTTCTTAGATACTAGATTGTATTAATGTTTTTGTCTCTTGGTGGGTTAAGTCACTATTTAGCTGTACCATGTCACTGCCGCTTTTGGCCAAACTGTCCGCTATTTCATTGCCCTCCAAGCCACAGTTACCTAGAATCCACTGCAGTACAGATTGTTCTACTGAAGAACCTAAGTGAATCAGCTGTTGCATCAAGTCAACTGAGAGTCTTTTGGGTTAACTAGTTGCTTGTAGAATTGAAATAACATAAGTCAGAAAGTGTGCTCTTGTCCATTCAAGAAAGCTTTTATGTGACTAATTGGCGGTTTTCCTTTAAAGTCGAGGTGTAGCTTCATTACAGGCTAGGAACCAACATTCTGCATACCAGTAAGCCACAGATTTGAAGGCAATAAGTCACAGATTTGCAGGCAATAAATAAGTCACAGGTTTGCAAGCTATAAGTCACAGGTTTGCAGGCTATAAGTCACAGATTTTCAGGCAATAAATAAGTCACAGATTTGCAGGCAATAAGTCACAGATTTGCAGGCAATAAGCCACAGATTTGCAGGCAATAAGTCACAGATTTGCAGGCAATAAGTCACATATGTGCAGGCAATAAGTCACAGATTTTCAGGCAAAAAAGTTATGTGATCTAACTTAGTGCTGGAGTCCACTCAGACTTTTAAAAAAAATAGGTAGTGGAAAATGTTTTGTGGGTAAGGGCCACAGACAAGGCACTGATCACCTTGACAACTATGCAGCCATGGGACTGTTTACCTAATGGTGATCACAGGATGACATGAGCACAGCTGGTCATGCATGTTCCTGTTTACCTTATGGTGACTATCGAATGACATGAGCACAGCTGGTCATGCATGTTCCTGTTTACCTTATGGTGACTGTGGAATGACATGAGCACACCTGGTCATGCATGTTCCATTTTACCTTATGGTGACTGTGGAATGACATGAGCACACCTGGTCATGCATGTCACCTATTTACCTTATGGTGACTGTCGAATGCCATGAGCACACCTGGTCATGCATGTTCCATTTTACCTTATGGTGACTGTGGAATGACATAAGCACACCTGGTCATGCATGTTCCATTTTACCTAATGGTGGCCTTATGGGGTCCTAACATAACCTAATGATTTAACAGAGTTTCTGGGACTTATACACAGGTGATACTCATCCGAATATGGGCACTTCGTGTCACGGGTGTTTATCGCTTGTTATGCGGTCCTAGTGGGGTTGAACTTTATTCATTCTGTTGCCCTGGAAAGCACAGTGGGACTAGTATAGTGAATTCTTTGCCTTTCTTGATATGCAAGCCACAGTGTAATACTCAGAACACCAATTACACCAGTTGCTGAGCCATCCTTGAAGATTCTAACATAATCAGATCAACAAAAACACCCGTGTTTACACATTTTTATTGGGTCCTATCAGAAACATATGTGTAGACAGAGAGATAGTGGCAAATATTCTGACAGAGATGGTGGCAAATATTTAGCAGAGAGATAGTGGCAAATTTCACGACAGAGAGGTAGCTGGAAATATCACGACAGAGAGCTAGTGGCAAAAATCATGACAGAGAGATAGTGGCAAATATGTTAGAGACAGAGAGTGGCAAATATCACGACAGAGAGATAGTGGCAAAAATCGCAACTGGCAAGTCATGTTATATCATAGGCATTACGTCAAAGTCACCTAACTGCAGCTTCAGCGATTTTTTTGTCAGTTTATTTTTTCACCACTCCTAATTGACACTTTTCTGCACAGTGCGCCAAAAGCAAATATGTGAGTTTCTACATTAAATAGGTCAAAGTGAGATATTACTTTTCGCGCAAATACATTTATATGCCAGTGTGATATTTTTTTTACAGAGATCTCAGCATTCTCGATCATGAATTTAGCACAGTTGTCTTTGGAATAATGCCAACGAATTATTTAGTTTATTGCTTTTCTTTATCAAAGTGTACATTCATTGAGAGATGTTTTCGCCTTGCTGTATATCTATCTCTTGGGGCATTTAGGCAATGTCTAGTTAAAATACCCCAGGCAGATAATGGACGATGAACATATCTACTGTCCCCGGGTTCCACAAGGTGGGCGAACCAGATCAGGGATGTTGCATTTCAGTGTGGCCTCATCGTAAACCATCTCTGGAAAAAAGGCATTACATTTGTTGTGATCAGTGATTTAAACAAGAAAGGAAAGAAGGAAAAGAAAAACAAAGGCTCTTTTTCCAAGAGTATTGTCACGGGCCGAGAATAGTAATGAGCAGATAAGGGAAATGTTTTAACGTGACAAACACTAGGAGTGGAGTGAATAAAAGTTTTAAAATTATTAATATTCTTTAGGACCTAATTATTGAGGGGGAACTGGCTCACAAACAGTATAGTTTTCGTAAAATCAAATACTTTGGCTGTGTTATAAACGTCATGATGCTTGGGAGGGGGGGGGGGGGGGGGGGGGGGGGGGGTGGGGGGGGGGGGGGGGTCTCTTTTTGCCACAACTTAGTGTAGAACACTGTACTCATACTGGACACGTCTACCGTGTGAAGGGGCGGTTAGTGAAGACTGTTTTTTTTTTTTTTTTTTTTTAAATTTAGGTCATAAAATAGTATATCTGTTTCAGCAGCGAGGGTCTATCGACATTGGAGATTAAAGGTTCGATTGTGGGCATGGTAACTGTTGCTTTGGATTTTTATGTTGTCTGATTTGCCCCTTAACTTTCTACTTCTTTCTGTGAGTGCACATCAGTATATGTCTGTTTATTATTTATTGGAAAGGTGGTTGGGGGGAAAGGGGGGGGGGGGGGGGGGAGAGACAAAGAAAAAGCAGTTTCTTAAATGTTTGATTACATTGGGATGTGTTATCGGTGGAGCTTTTTACCCACAGATTGTCGTGTCGCAGAGTTGTGAGATATGTATAGAGCTCGCAGTTTTGTAAAGTAAAGGCGGCCGGTATGATGTTGAACACATCACACATCCACTGCTGATTGGTCTCTATAATATAGGTCTAGTTCTGCATGCCCAATACCCCCGAAGGCGTGGAAAAGGGTCCTTTTACTTTTTTTACTTTTTTAATTTGAGGCGAGGTCAAAGAGGGATGCTTCCCGTCAGCCTTTTGTCATGACCGGGAAGGGTGTCAGCACAAGAACTGATACACCCTGTTGGGGGTCGCCAGCTGTGGAAAGGAATTATTGTCCCCTGCCAGTGGACATGCCTTTGACCCTACATGTTTCTGCTTCTGTCCGTCCTATTCTGTAGGGTTGCCATCCCAATATGTTTGAAATTGTATATGTACCTCATATCTGTTGTCTTTTATCTAATTTTGGTGGCCAAGTGTAGGACAAACATGGTGGTCAAGTGTAGGACACACATGGTGGTCAAGTGTAGGACACACATGGTGGTCAAGTGTAGGACAAACATGGTGGTCAAGTGTAGGACACACATGGTGGCCAAGTGTAGGACACACATGATGGCCAAGTGTAGGACAAACATGGTGGTCAAGTGTAGGACAAACATGATGGTCAAGTGTAGGACAAACATGGTGGCTAAGTGTAGGACAAACATGATGGCCAAGTGTAGGACAAACATGATGGTCAAGTGTAGGACAAACATGGTGGCCAAGCAAGTGTAGGACAAACATGGTGGTCAAGTGTAGGACAAACATGATGGCCAAGTGTAGGACAAACATGGTGGTCAAGTGTAGGACAAACATGGTGGCCAAGTGTAGGACAAACATGATGGCCAAGTGTAGAACAAACATGATGGCCAAGTGTAGGACACACATGGTGGTCAAGTGTAGGACAAACATGGTGGCCAAGTGTAGGACAAACATGGTGGTCAAGTGTAGGACAAACATGGTGGTCAAGTGTAGGACACACATGATGGCCAAGCAAGTGTAGGACAAACATGATGGCCAAGCAAGTGTAGGACAAACATGGTGGCCAAGTGTAGGACAAACATGGTGGTCAAGTGTAGGACACACATGGTGGCTAAGTGTAGGACAAACATGGTGGCCAAGTGTAGGACAAACATGATGGCCAAGTGTAGGACACACATGGTGGTCAAGTGTAGGACAAACATGGTGGTCAAGTGTAGGACACACATGATGGCCAAGCAAGTGTAGGACAAACATGATGGCCAAGTGTAGGACAAACATGATGGCCAAGTGTAGGACAAACATGGTGGTCAAGTGTAGGACAAACATGGTGGTCAAGTGTAGGACACACATGGTGGTCAAGTGTAGGACAAACATGGTGGTCAAGTGTAGGACAAACATGGTGGCCAAGTATAGGACAAACATGGTGGCTAAGTGTAGGACACACATGGTGGCCAAGTGTAGGACAAACATGGTGGCCAAGTGTAGGACAAACATGGTGGTCACGTGTAGGACACACATGATGGCCAAGTGTAGGACAAACATGGTGGTCAAGTGTAGGACAAACATGGTGGTCAAGTGTAGGACAAACATGGTGGTCAAGTGTCACATGGTGGTCAAGTGTAGGACAAACATGGTGGTCAAGTGTATTACACACATGGTGGCCAAGTGTAGGACAAACATGGTGGCCAAGTGTAGGACACACATGGTGGTCAAGTGTAGGACAAACATGGTGGCCAAGCAAGTGTAGGACAAACATGGTGGCCAAGTGTAGGACACACATGGTGGCCAAGTGTAGGACAAACATGGTGGCCAAGTGTAGGACAAACATGGTGGCCAAGCAAGTGTAGGACAAACATGGTGGCCAAGTGTAGGACACACATGGTGGCCAAGTGTAGGACAAACATGGTGGCCAAGTGTAGGACACACATGATGGCCAAGTGTAGGACAAACATGGTTGCCAAGCAAGTGTAGGACAAACATGGTTGCCAAGCAAGTGTAGGACAAACATGGTGGCCAAGTGTAGGACAAACATGGTTGCCAAGCAAGTGTAGGACAAACATGGTTGCCAAGCAAGTGTAGGACAAACATGGTGGCCAAGTGTAGGACAAATATCTTCTTGAAAATTATTTTTCTGTACAGTTTCGGGGTGTCGTTGTAGTATGTATCTTCTACTTCTTTGTCTGGCTCAGTGGCTGGAAGTCTGGCTTATCTGTTGTAGTCTGTACGTTTCTCTCCTCTCAGACAGATGCAGTCCGACTTGGAAGAAAACATCGATCCTGTTGTCAACGTTGGTCAGGCTGCCGGGTGGCAACTTGTTTCCAGGATGACTGCGCAGATGAGTAGATAGGCCTTGACCAGTGTGAGTCTTGGTCCTGATGCCCCAGCTGGTGTGGTTTCAGTACTTATGCATCCCATTAGGTGTATGAATCTCACAGTGTGTCCCTTGATAAAGAGTCCGATCAACATGACAATGCTAGACCACATACGGCTCGGTTAACTCAGGAGAACATTAACCTTCTAGCTAGGGTGTGAACTTCTGGAATAAGATTTAGAAAACAGAACAGGTAGTTCTATGCAGCAGGTCTGGGAGGACTGATAAAATGATGGGGTGTTTTTGGAAATTATGTTGAAACAAGGGACAGTGTGTATGTGTAAAAATAAACATTTTCCAAGTTATCGTCTATAGTTTCATTTAAACAACCTTTTGTGACTTACTTTTTGACTTCCCCTTGTAACATATCTGAATAAATATAGAATGTATTCTCATCGGCACCTTTCCGTCTTTCCAGACGATAGTGTTATATATTGCGCTATGAGGAGACATGAGACTCACAACCCATGGCGATGGCGAGTGTGACTAGCAAGACCCGTGTCAAGAAAAGTCTTCCACAATGATAGCATGAATTAATCAAGTAACAGAAAGTATTGTGAACGGCACTCATAGAAAGAAGTAGAAAGATAGAAGAACACACTAAGATACATGGATCTTAGTGCACTTGTATTCATGGCGAGGCGCAGACGCCGTCTAGAGGTGACAGGTTCAATTCCCGGCACGGTAACTATAGCTTTCGATTTTTATGTTGTCTAGTGTGTTCTTCTATCTTTCTACTTCTTTCTATGAGTGCCGTTCACAATACTTTCTGTTACTTGATTAATTCATAATATTTAACGGCCTCAAACGGTTCCCCCCTCTGTTTATTTACACAATGATAGCATGGGATTTCAGTACCATTGTTGTCAACATTTGTGTTTAATCCGGTGTTTTTTTTCCCCAGACGCTCAGCTCTCATCCTTTCTGCAATCGATTCTTCCTTCAGTCTCATTCCCTTCTTGATATACCCTTTCCACACAACACAGTCCATGGCATTTTGTTCCCATGAGTCCGCCTTAGTACCCGCTCTCCCATCCTCTATTCTCCAGGTGTGACCCAGCCACCTGAGCCTTCGTAAACTGAGCATGGAAAAGACTGTTGTAGTACCTGCTTTTTCCAGTATACCTCAGTGTTTGTGATTTTGTCTTGCCACTTAACGCCAATTATTCTTTTTAGGCATCGTATGTGAAAGCTGTTATGCCGTCTCTCCTGGTGCAAATAGGTTGACCAAGTTTCACTGCCATAAAAGAGAGTGCAGATAACACAAGCATTGTAGACAAGGGTTTTTGTTTTAAGTGTGAGCTTTTTGTTCTCCCAAACTCTCTTTGTCAATCTGCTCATTGTTATAGCTGCCTTACCTATCCTGATGTTGACTTCTTGGTCCAACGATAGTTTACTATTCACTGTGGACCCAGATGGGTAAAATGGTCTACTGTCTCAAGCTCTTCACCGTCAATGTAGAATGTAAGTCTGTCATCAACTCTTTGCACCATAACCTGTCTTCTTTTTGCTGACTGTTAGTCAAAATTCACAGCACGCATCAGCAAAAGCAGATAGTAAACATTGCAGCTCCTCTGAGTGGGTGGTTATTGCGGCATCATCTGCAAACAGCAGTTCTCTAATAAGTACCTTTCTTATCCTGGTTTTGGCCTTTAGCCTGCGAGCATTGTAAAGGCTGGCCTCAGATCAAGAATGAATGAATATACCACCCTCCTGATCCTGAAAGGCGTGTGTCAAAAGAAGTGAAAAGTATATTCCAAGGAGGGTAGGAGCAAGTACACACCCCTGCTTCACCCCATTTTTGTTTACAAACTCCTCCGATGTTACACCATCAACGTTGATTGTACCTTTCATACCTGTGTGGAACGACTCAATAATGCTCAGTAGAGTAGGTGGACACCCAATCTTCTTCAGTACGTTGAACAGACCTTTTCGACTAACCAAATTAAATGCCCTGGTAAGATTAATAAAAGCAACATACAGTGGTTGATTTTGTTCCCGGCATTTTTCCTGCAACTGTCGTAATGAAAATATTATATCAGTGGTAGATCGGTTTCCACTAAATCCACACTGGGACTCTGGATAAACGCGATCCCCCAGAATCTGGAGTCTTCGCAGAACAATTCTCGCAAGCACTTTTCCAACAGTGAACAGCAGTGATATTCCCCTGTAATTATTGCAGTCACTCCGATCACACCTGTTCTTGTACATAGTTATAATGATTGTGTTTTTGAAATTTTGCGGAAACTCTCCCTCTTGCCAGCAGAGTGTTATTAGCTGATGGATGTGTGGGGTTAGAATGTCTTTCCCACGCCTGATGATTTCAGTAGGAATTCCATCTCTGCCTGGGGCTTTCCCTGAAGCCAATTCATCAATAGCATTCCCAACTTCTACAACTGTTGGAATTGTGTCCAGATAGTCAAGAGCTGGTAGAGTCACCATGGCATTAAGAGCACCATCTGCTAGTTTAATAACTGAGTAAAGCTCCAAATAATGTTCCACCCATCTATCTAGCTGCTTCTTCTTGTCATTAGTAATCTCCCCATTCAATTTCTTTAGTGGTGCACTTTTTAACCTTCTAGGGCGGGAACTTCTGGAATGTGATTTAGAAAACAGAGCAGGCAGTTCTATGCAGCAGGTCTGGGAGGACTGATAAAATAATGGGGTGTTGGTGGAAAATATGTTGACAAATAAAAGGACAGTGTGTGTAAAATTAAACGCTTTCCAGGTTATCGTCTAAAGTTTCATTTAAACAACCATTTGTGACTTCCCCTCGTAAATATATGTGAAAGAATATAGAATATATGAACTCGTACTTAAGACGCGCACCTATGTATGTTCCTTTTTTTTTTGAAAAAGGGGGGGGGGGGGGTGGGGGGAACCTATCCCTCATATAATTTTTTACCGGTGGGAGCTCGCTTAGCCTTTTCCCATCTGCTAAATTCTTTCGGGTAATGGAGAAATGCGGAGGGGAGCCTCATGTAGCCCGCCTCCCTTCTTCCCCCATATATGCGTCCGGGCATTAGAAACATAACACAACTGTCTTGTGAGACTTACTGAAAAGGCAGCTTTGCAGCTCACCGGCCTGTCCCGAATTACAGGTGAAGAATGTATTGCAGTCGTCCAAGAGATCAGCGTACACACCGTCAGACTTTCCGTCACAGAGACCGCAGTTCTCAGTGCGACCTTCTCGCCTGCATCATAGATAAAGAACGAGTCAGTAAAAGATCCGTCCCCGACAGTGGTACATCGGGCATATGTTACTAAGCCAACGAGCTGATTATTGCGATTCACGGAAGCAACAGCTTTTTTTTTTTAAATATCCAGAAACCATGAGTTGACCCTTTGGCTCGGTACTATGGATATCGAAACCCTTCGACCTTGATTCCACGATAGATAACTAAAATCTGTGAGAAATATGGTTTTTCTGCCTACCCCTGGGCGTGAACCCAGACATCAAGGAGTTCGTCGTCCGGTAGCCGCGCAGTCAGGTTTAACCAACTGAGCTAGCGAGCGGGGCAAGCAACAGCTATAAAACAGGTTCGGTCCAGAATTTTGCAGACAAAAGGACATGATTGTCACCTTGCGTTTACCTTGGTGAAACAGTTACTTTTTCAATTTAGTCACTTGGTTCACTTGGAAGCATTCATTTATTTTCTAAATTCTAATCAGTTGATACAGTAGTATGCACCCAATGAGATACAGCGAAATATGCCCGGAAATAAATTGTATAATTTATCGTTTGTGTATGTGTTCAAATTCCCAACTCTCGCGTGTGGGTTCCGGGGCCCTATTATGAGGGAGGGGGGGGGGGGTAATAGACTCACTGCCAACCCAAAAGCATGTCGTAAGAGTCGTCTAACTGGGAGCTTCCTTCGAAGTCGGAGTGCATCTGCCTGCGAGGCAAGGAACCAGCAGTCTGCATACAAATGAGTCAGATCTGTAAAACGGATACACACGCATTACTCAGGTTTTGGAACTGGACTGCAGTCCAGAAGAGGATGAACAACCAGAACTTTCCTCACAATAGAGAAACATTCCGTGTCTACAACATCTGCTAAAGTCAAAGTGTCTGTCTCACAACACCAAGATCAAAATATATACAACGTTGATAAGACCAGTCGAGTTATATGGTTCTGAAACTTGGAGCACAACTTAAAGGGATGAAGCCTTATTACAGGTTTTCGAAAACAGAGTCTTACGACTAATCTTTGGACCCAATAAAGATGCAAACAGCGGTGGAGAGTGAGAAGCAACAACGAAATTCATAATCTGTTCACCACTGATCACTGGCATCATGAGCGCTAATAGACTGAAATTGTTGGGGCATATTGAAAGAATGTCAGATGACAGAGAAGTAAAAACTGTATACACCAGGGAGATGAATTGTCGTAGACCACGAGGCAGACCAAGAAGACAATGGAGAGATAATATCCAGGCAGACCTGCAAACACCAACTGGAAAGAGAAGGCCAACCAGAAAGATGAATGGAGACGGGTGATATCTGCAGCCATCAACCTCTAGGGCTCGGAATGCTGGAGATGTGATGACGATGATGAAATATTGCGATGATACGTTACTAGGACCAACGTTTTTACCGCCTCAAGTCTTATTCTGTTTGGCTGCACGCAACAGTACCACTATACTGCCACATTTGTAAACCATCACACATTCTTTTTTTAAATTGGTCATGTAATAGACACTGGGTTGAGCACCGGCACCTCGTTTATTCAGGGGAAAAAATATAGGTAGTCTTTATATACGGGAGCTGCCGAGGTGTAACGGCTAGACGCTCGCTAGTCATAAATGACCTTGGCTTCCAGGTCGACCCAGCCTTAAACGGGTACCAGGTGCAGCCCTGGGAAGTAAAGTCGGCCGGCGTGATGCTGACCACATCACTCCGACTGCCGATTAGTCTATAAAACAAAGATCTAGCCCTATACACCTAACCCGCCTGATTGCGTGGAAAAGGGCTCTTTCCGTTAGCTAAGACAATGTTAAATGGTTACGTAATGGAAATATTTACGAGAAAATATTAAAGGGTAACTTATTTGACGTTTACGAGAAAATGTTAAAGGGTTACTTATTCCACAAATTTACAAGGTGACATCAAAGGGTTACTTGTTTCTCTTCTTGTATGCCTTACTAATCCCCAGTAGAGCAATGGAACTCAATAAACTCATGCTTAGTCTTTCAATACTTCGCCATCACATGCTGCTCTTCCCATGTCCTCTTCGTTTTTTAACTTCACTCTTTAGCTCTCTCCTCAATGTGTTTTTTGGTCTTCCTTTTTTTCTATATCCCTGTGGGTTCCAGAGCAAAGACATCCTAGTTTTACTGGTCTCAGGTTTTCTCAACATGTGTCCTATCAAACGCCAACGTCTTTTCCTCACCTCTTATTCCACTTGAAATTTTTTACTTGTTTTTAAGTAAAAGATTACTTATCCAACTATTTAACAAATATAACATCAAAGGGTTACTTACCCATACACATGCATCAAACATAACATCAATGGGTTACTTACCCAACACATGTATCAAACATAACATCAATGTGTTACTTACCCATACACATGTATCAAACATAACATCAATAGGTTACTTACCCAACACATGTATCAAACATAACATCAATGGGTTACTTACCCACAGACATTTACCAAACAACATCGAATGGTTACTTACCCAACTCATTTACCAAACACATCAAAGGATTACTGACCCAATACATTTACCAAAAGTAACATCAACAGGTTACTTACCCAATACATTTAGCAAGCAACATCAACGGGTTACTTACCCAATACATTTAGCACACATAACATCAAAGGGTTACCGACCCAACACATGTATCAAACATAGCATCAAAGGGTTACCGACCCAACACATGTATCAAACATAGCATCAAAGGGTTACTTACCCAACACATTTACCAAACATAACATCAAAGGGCTACTTACCCACGCACATTTACCAAAAGTAACATCAACAGGTTACTTACCCAACGCGTTTATCAAGAATATCAAAGGGATACTGACCCAATACATTTACCAAACATAACATCAAAGAATTACGTATTTCCCACATTTACGAGAAACCACGTCAAAGGTACTTACTCGACACATTTTCGAGACACCACGTCAAAGACCGAGCCTGAGGGACAGGATGTCACTACCACTTCTCCATTCACACATTTGGCATAACCCCAGCAGCCCCTGTCCACGATTTTACCTTCGTTCTGACCGTTACACTCGGTGCCCGACACTGTCACTGCGAATATTCGAAATGAACAAATCCAATTGTATTTTTATTTCAAGTGTAAATAAATAAATATGCCCCCCCCCCCCCCACCTTTCTCCAAATGTATCCTTAACTCTTTGAGTCGTAGGTTGAATGCTTCTTACTCATATAATATACTTAGAATTTAGTATGTTAACTAAGAAATGTTTGAGTTAGAAGCAGGTAAAATTATAACAAGTCGACCCAGCCTCAAATGGGTACCAGAATGGGCTGTCCTGGGAAAGTAAAGACGGCCGGCCTAATGCTGACCACATTACCCACCGAGTGCCGATTGGTCTGTAAAAATATGGGTGCTCTTCCCATATGCCCGATGCGCCTAAAGGCGTGTAAAGGGATATTTACTTTAAAAAAAAAATTATAACACATAAAAAAGAACGAACTGCAGCAGCAACTGAGGCTCTGTGAGGCAACGTAATTATTGTTTGGGTGACACAAACAAGGTTTCAGTAGTTTATAATCTAAGAGAGCTCCCCAAAAAATGTATGGTGAGTTGCTTGGGAATGAATGAGTTACCTGTTATAGTTTATATATATTTATAATTATATATATATGTATATATAATGCTTCCTGCGCGAGTTCTTGGACCTCATTAGTTGGTTGAGGGGGGAGGGGCGAAACCAATTACCCCTTAATAGCATTTCCTTTTAGACGATTAATCAGGGGTGTCTCTTTTGAAGTCAGAGTGTATCTGCCTGAGAGGCGAGAACAAACGGTCTGCGTATAAATGATGCCATATCTGTACAAAGGAGGTGCATGCAAAATTCGAGCTTTGTGCAAGACCAAAGTCCAGAAGTGGACGAACAACCTGAGCTTTTCGCCGAGTTTACAGTCGGTGATCGATAAAAAGAAAAAGCAGAAGAAGGGTATAATGCTGTGAATTCCCGGGGAAATCCCAGAGAGTTCCCTGTGGGGAGGACAAGGTCAGAAGACCAGTGATACAAGAGAAAAACGAGATAAGTGGGTCTCGAGTATCCCATGGTGAGCGAAATGGGGATACAAGAAAAGCGTGAGACTGGAACTGAAGACGTGAACCGATAGAACGGTAGTAAGACAGTTGAAGTTCGGACCTGGTTGCGAGAGGTCGTATGTGAGAGAACGCATGAAGAGAATGGAAAAATTGTGAACACGTGTAATAGTTCGAGAGAAGACCTGAATGTTTCCTGATTGCCAGTTTCAACATGTACTAATACCAGGTACAAGGCTTTTCTAGGAGATGGATGTGTGATTCAAGAGATACGGGTGGATCAAGGCAGTGTGCGAGAGAATTAGCCAGGTCGTCAGAAATCAGCCATGCAAAACGACCACGAGGACGAAAGAAGGCGCTGTCTGTGAAATGTTTGATCCAGCGAATAAAGGTTTATAATTGAACATTCGTTTCTGGTGTGTCGTAGCAATTTGGCGTGTAGAAACAAACCCCTAGCAGAGCACATTTCAAAGGGCCGTTAAAAGGCGGTTGCTACATTGTGTGGTTTACAGCTAGGCTGGATATCCACGCCTTCTGGTCCAACCAATTCTATTTCTGCAAACCTTTATTTAGTAATCTTTTACAACATGCTTTATAGGGGTTCACATCCAATGCAGCCAACTTCTGTTCGCTTCGGTACTCAACATCAACCAGCAGGTCCTTTACAGAACGCCGCTCTCGTCACGACACATCTTAAACGTCTCTTCTCTAGCCAGGGGAAGCCACCCTGCTGTAGCGGCTAGACGCTTGCATGCGGTTCAGAAGGTCGGAATCTTTCCGAAAATGACCTTGGCTCCCAGGTCGACCCAGACTTGGGTGGGTACCAGGAATAGTCCTGGGAAGTAGAGCGGCAGGCGTGATGTTGACCATAGCATCCACTAAGTGCCCATTGGTCTATAAAATATAGGTCTAGCCCTATATGCCCAACACGCTAGAAGGCGTAAAAAAGGGTCCTTTACTTCCTCTTTCTCTAGCCAGTGCTCTGGCTCAATTTGCTTTCCTAGCCAACGCATCCATAATGTCTTGTGTCAGCGTTCACGGTGGTCTGCGTCTGCCTCCCGTTTCCGGAAGCTGTATCACCCATCACCGCTGCTTCCCTGCTAGAGCTAAAATTTTTATGGACCAACCGCTATTTGGTGGTTAAAGCGGCCAGCATCACACCGGTCGCTTTTACTTTCCATGACATTATGTGATAACTCTTTGTAGGCTGGGTCGAGCTGGGAGCCGAGTTCATTTATAACAACAAAATCACTCTGTACGGATTTGAACCTCTGAGAATCGAGCCCGTCGGCCAGCGTCTGTCTTGCCACTCTGATAAAGCGACTCCTAAATTTAAGATACAATGTAAAACAAAACAGATAAGTCAAATCACTCGTAAAACTTAAAAGTTACTGAAACAAAACATCTTCACTGTTTTTCAGAAGTGTTTAAAGTGTTCTTTTGGCTTTTTTGTGTTTTATTCGTTCTTAAAATCTCTGGTCAACACACGCGGGTGGATCTCCCCCACCCCCACCCCCTCCCCCACTCACAATCCGTGCTCGCTAGATTTCTTTAGTCATAGTTTGTGTTTAGTAAATACTTCTTTTTTAATATTTATTTTTAAGTGTATTTCACCGGACAGTTTAGGTATACTGGGCAATGAACAGGCAGGCAGATTGGCTGGTCTGCACATCTTAATGTGAAAATTGATTCAACACTGAGAGGAAACTATATACAATTTGTATTGAATATATTATTATTGAATAATAAAAATATACTGAATGTGACAATCTACTCTTCTATAATCTTATACAATTAATACATACGGTTAGTTGCGTATCCTTTACAGGACGTTGCAGAACCAACCCCAGCAACCGCTGTTTGTTGTGTGGTTTTTCTAGGCAAATTTAGTTTGCCATTGCTTACTGGACGGTCGGCCTCCCGATAGCACTGTAGAAACCAACGCAAGGCGCATGGCCCGCAGCTGGGATCGAACTCGGTACCCCGGGATTACGAAGCGTTCGCATCGACTTAGACACAGAGGCGACTAATTAATACATAAGCAAACATAAAAAGGTAGACAGAAATATACATTATCGAAATAAAAATTATAATAATAAAAATACTATATTTACCCCAGTTGTAACAGGATTTTTGATTGAACAGGATACTGGTGTATTTTTAAAAAAAATTACTACTACATTTTTGATCCAGTCCCAACGCTGGACGCAATGTTTCGTTATTTTAAAACCCCGACACCGTCTGTAGTCAGGGGCACTAATATAAATAACATAATAGTTGAACGGGCACTAGTGCCCGGGTGATACTCATCCAAATGGTGGCAGTTTGTGTCACCGCGTGATTGTCGCTGCTTATGCTCTCCTTGTGGGGCTGAAAGACGCATACATTTGTACTTTAAGACTGCAACTTTGCCTTCGGAATTAGTAACTCCACGTTGGCTGCTAAATATGGGGACGTAGCGCGTATGAGAATGTCCGAAGTGCTGCAATGTCGGTTAATATTTCAGCTCAGCTCAACATTTTTTAGCAGCGCAGACCGAGTTTCCTGACTTTGTGTTTTACTTCAGACGTCTAGGGTAGTCACCGCCCAATACTTCTACCCATATCGCAGTCAATTTGCATGCTTCGATCGAGGTTCCAGCCATTCACTTGTCATACGTGTTCGGTTAACCCTCAGTACTGCTCCAATATCTTGGAGTTGACTGCCAGTTAGCTCCATCCTTTGCATATTATCTTATTCGTCGGTGTCATTGTTAGTGCCTTCAAATCCCCTTTGTTGATTTCACGATAGACGATGGAGAGGATTGGAAGAAAGGGGGGGGGGGAGGGAGGAGGGGGGAGAGGGGGCGGGGAAGGGGGCAGGGCAATACATTGTATGTTTCCTTCAGGACATAGCAAGGATCTCTAGCAATTACTGGCTGATGTGTGGCTTTAGTGAGAGAACTGAACAAGTTGCTGGCGTTGAATATGACACACGATGCCAAAACCTGACGATAATATAACAAGAATGTCTTTGCACTGGAACCCACAGGCACGGACATTTAGGTAGAGCAATAAACACATGTAAAGGGAGCTAGGGAAGCAATAAATACATGTAAAGGGAGCTAGGGAAGCAATAAACACATGTAAAGGGAGCTAGGGAAGCAATAAACACATGTAAAGGGAGCTAGGGAAGCAATAAACACATGTAAAGGGAGCTAGGGAAGCAATAAACACATGTAAAGGGAGCTAGGGAAGCAATAAACACATGTAAAGGGAGCTAGGGAAGCAATAAACACATGTAAAGGGAGCTAGGGAATCAATAAACACATGTAAAGGGAGCTAGGGAAGCAATAAACACATGTAAAGGGAGCTAGGGAAGCAATAAACACATGTAAAGGGAGCTAGGGAAGCAATAAACACATGTAAAGGGAGCTAGGGAAGCAATAAACACATGTAAAGGGAGCTAGGGATTGAAGGTAATAAGGTCAGGAGGAACTAGGGTGAGCTGCATGTGATAGTGAAGGATAGAGGGTAGAAAAAAAAATGAAAATTTTATTTTCTTCCTGTTTTTTTTTCTTCTTGTTGATCGTTTTGTTATAGTTGTTTGTTGTTGTTGTTTTTGCTGTTCTTCTTTTTCCTCTGTGAGTTAACCTTCCCTGACGATGGTTCTACATAGGGCCTCTTTTCGTCTTTCCCATTTATGGAACTACAAAAGATTCTTCACACACAAGACTGAGCATTGGCTTCAACACAGCACTGAATATGTGTGCAGTTTCAAATAGCCGGTGGCACTTTCCTTTCAAAGTCTTCCACAATAAATGCACACGATTTAAGAATCATTGTTGCAACAGCATGTATTTTACATGTTTTGTTTGTTTTCATTCTCAGTCACAGCTCTCAGTTTATCTGCAATAATTTTCTAATTTGTTCTTATGTTCTTACTGATTTTCCCCCTGAATGCAACACCATTCTTGGTACCATGTTTCTATGAATTCACCTAAATACATGTATCTTTCATGCTCCGC